TGGTGGCATCGACACATCTGTGACACAGGCCGCGTCCTCTGGCCCTTCCTGTGGTGGCATCCATGCATCTGTGACACAGGCCATGTCCTCTGGTCCTTCCTGTGGTGGCATTGGTGCATCTGTGACACAGGTCATGTCCTCTGGCCCTTCCTGTGGTGGCATTGGTGCATCTGTGACACGGCCTTTCCTGTGGTGGCATCCATGCATCTGTGACACAGGCCATGTCCTCTGGCCTTTCCTGTGGTGGCATTGGTGCATCTGTGACATAGGCCATGTCCTCTGGCCCTTCCCATGGTGGCATCAGTGCGTCTGTGACACAGGCCATGTCCTCTGGCCTTTCCCATGGTGGCATCGACACATCTGTGACACAGGCCATGTCCTCTGGCCTTTCCCATGGTGGCATCGACACATCTGTGACACAGGCCGCGTCCTCTGGCCCTTCCTGTGGTGGCATTGGTGCATCTGTGACACGGCCTTTCCTGTGGTGGCATCCATGCATCTGTGACACAGGCCATGTCCTCTGGCCCTTCCTGTGGTGGCATCCATGCATCTGTGACACAGGCCATGTCCTCTGGCCCTTCCCATGGTGGCATTGGTGCATCTGTGACACAGGCCATGTCCTCTGGCCCTTTCTGTGGTGGCATTGGTGCATCTGTGACACAGGCTGTGTCTGCCAGCCCTTCCTGTGGTAGATTGATGTGTCTAGGACAAGCCATGTCCACTGCCTCTTCCCACTCCCGCTTCCCAGGAGCAGCTCCATCCCTCTCAAGGCACGCAGGGCTTTCCCCCAGGAGCTTCCTTCAGCCCGAGCCTCTCTCTGGGCACCGCTGGTCTCTGATGCTGCACGCTTGGTTCTCAGGCCCACCTTTTCAGCGTGATTATGGAGCACCCTGGGGCCAGGCTCTTAGGCTCTAGCTAACTGCTTCCTGAAAGCAGTGAATGTCACAATATATATCCACAGTGAAGCTAGCCGGGCACTTGATGTCAGTGCCCAATGCTGAAGAAAGCCGAGGGTTCTTCAGTCTCCTTACCCGTGGTCTCTGGAAAACCCATATGTAACAGCAACCATATGGAGACTGAGGTCAAACTGCACATCTTCCTAAAACATCAGTGTGGTGTCTCACAGTGAAATTGATGATGTGTTGTAGAGTCGATGCCAGTGAGCTGTTGTTTTAAGCAATTTAAAAAAAAGCTTGGATTTACATCCTAAAATGTTGATTCAGAGAATACAGTAGCCTAAATAATGACTGACATTGGAGGCTTGCTGATCCAGTGAAAAGCAAGACTCTTTTAGAGAAGTTCTAACTGTAGCTTTTATGAAAGTCAGTGATCATCTCTGCACCACGGCAGCACAGCTGACTGCTTCAAACCGTGTCTTCATTTTAGTGGTTCTGAGAACAGCCTGGCAGGCATATGCACACAAATTTGGAAACAGCATGACCCCTTTCTTCTGTCATCCAGGAAAAAGCACTCTGTGTGCCCTCCCAGGCGGAGTAGAGTAAATTCTTCTTTTTATAAGCTGGAGGTAAACTGCTCCTTCTTAATTGACTTGTTTTAAAAGTATGGCATGCAACTACATTTTTACAAAGAGATAAGTTTTAAAAAATCATCTCATTGGCCTGTAGCAAACATATGATAAAGTGAGAAAATGTGGTTTTCCCTTGATCATGGAGATGAGTGATAACCTGTCCCATATGGTTTTTTTTTTTTGAGATGGAGTTTCGCTCTTGTTACCCAGGCTGGAGTGCAATGGCGTGATCTCGGCTCACCGCAACCTCCACCTCCTGGGTTCAGGCAATTCTCCTGCCTCAACCTCCCGAGTAGCTGGGATTACAGGCACACGCCACCATGCCCAGCTAATTTTTTGTATTTTTAGTAGAGATGGGGTTTCACCATGCTGACCAGGATGGTCTCGATCTCTTGACCTCGTGATCCACCCGCCTCGGCCTCCCAAAGTGCTGGGATTACAGGCGTGAGCCACCGCGCCCGGCGTCCATACGTTTTTTAATTCACAAGATAGTCCATATAGGAAGGAAGGTTTAGTTTTGTGAAATTTTTCGGACTGTTTAAATTAAAATATATTTGGTGAGGTCTATGATTTTGAACAGTGGTGACGGGAGACCTTTGAGAGTAACTGTCAAACACATAATGGGCCACGGTGGAGATGAATTTGCGTGCATGCTTACATGTTCCCGGAAGGTCACTACTTTCCTTCCTGTTGTGCTGGCCCGTGACGTGCGGTGACATAGTTATGACATTTGCATAAGTGCCATCATTCACGGCTGAGGCGAACCTGGCTGGGAAAGTCCAAACAATTAGGCCTGTTTATTACCCCCTTTCTACTCATCTCAAACTTGGCGAAGAAAGATGTCATGATATTAGGGCAGGTGTCACAGTTTAACCTGGATTCCCACGTCTCTCTCGCTTTTGATTGTTACTATCCCTATTGCTGGGACTCGAAACCTCTTTGGAATCAGTATTTCTCCTTAAGGGAACCAAAGCAGAGCCAGCTTCACCCCTGGAGAGGTCACCGAGACCCCTGTCTGCAGTCTCGCCCTGGTGTGCAGTGGACACTGGGCCTACCTTCTGCTAGAGCCATAGAATCTGGAGATGTGTCATTAATGAGAAAGACTCTGTTTTCTGTAAATGAACCACGACAAATGGGTTAACGTGAAAACAGCCACCTCCTCTCCAGGACTGTCACGTGGAAACCCCTTTATCGATGAGCCCGCTTCACACCTCCACCCAGCGTCTCTCTATTCCTGTGTCTGTCGCACCTAATGCCCTTGATAAATCAGTGTTATGAAGCACTGTCGGGAAAGGCACCATGAGAAGCAAGTGTTTACATGGACCTCACCCCTGCCATGGTGAGATGAATGCATGGTGACCAGTCCACCCTACCCAGAAAAAACACGACGTCCTAACTCTGGTCTCTCCCTGGCTCTGTTGGCGTTTTGGATGGAGCAGTCTTGAGGACTTTCTGAATCCCCTAAAATAGTGCCTTGAATATTGTCCGTTTTCAATAATTTTCCTTAAGGGATTGATTTTCATTAGGGGAAAAGTCAGGAACAAAAAAGAGGAGGAAGAGAGGATATTGGATGTTTCTCTGGTGAGTTTCTCAGCTCAGCACCGGATTGGTTTAATAACATCTGATCACCTTCCTCAGTTTTCCAGCCTTCAGATTCTCTTTCCAATGCACGCTTTTTAAAAATGTGCCGACTTTGTGCCAGCTCTGTGGCTCACACCTGTAATCCCAGCACTTTGGGAGGCTGAGGCAGGTAGATACCTGAGGTCAGGAGTTCAAACGAGCCTGGCCAACATGGTGAAACCCCGTCTGTACTGAAAATACAAAAATTAGCCAGGTGTGGCAGCAGGTGCCTGTGCCAGCTACATGGGAGGCTAAGGCACAAGAATCACTTGAACCCAGGAGGTGGAGGCTACAGTGAGCCGAAATCCTTCCACTGCACTCCAGCCTGGGCAACAAGAGTGAAACGCTGTCTCCAAAAAAAAAAAGTATCCGCTTTGTAAATTTTTAAATGTTAATATGTAACGTTATGCCTTAAAGTGCAGGTCATCCTGAATGGCAAGCTCATTTTGTCCTTTGTCCGTGTTTTCTTGGGATAAGATAAGAGGTTAGAGAGGATGCAGAAACTCCACTCACACAGGTTAAAAATAACAAGGGGAGGGACAGAGAGGGTGGGGAGCTGGGAGACATGGCATGGGGAGAAATGCCAGATATGGGTGATGGGGAGGAAGGCAGCAAATCACACTGCCATGTGTGTACCTGTGCAACAATCTTGCATGTTCTTCACATGTACCCCAAAACCTAAAATGCAATTAAAAAATAAATAACTGGAGGGGGTGAGGAAGGCAAAGTGTCCTGCAGCCCACGGGAACAGGCAGAAAGCATGTGTTTCTGCTCTTGGGCACAGTGTCTGGAAGTCCTTGGGGAAAACTGCTGCTCGGTCTGTCCTCAGACGGCCCTGAGACCCCTCCGGGAGATGCCTGGCAGTGCCTTGCACCGTGTGTGTGTGTGGTGGGAGGTGGCGAAGGCGCAGGTCTCCCTTCAAGAAGCACTTTCATCTGCTCTTCCTGCACAATGAAGGAGAATGATTGACTCTAATGGACGACTGGTTCTGGTGAGGGAGAATGTTGGGGAGTTCATCCTCTCTATGAAAATTAGTCATACCCTGAGTCTGGGCCAAGGTATCACATGCATTTCTGGTAGCTTCTAGGCATATTTAATACGATCTTCATCTCCAGGTGCATTGATTTTGCTTAGGTGGCCTGTCCGGCTGCACGGCCCATGGTACAGAGCGCCCGTGCAGTGCGGCTCGGGAGGGGACTGGCTGGTGACGGCCATGGCCCAGCTCAGATTCGGAGAGCCAGCCCCTTTTCTGTGGACTTCCTACAACTTAAAGCTATGGCACCTGTACTTACAGGGAAGCAAATACGTTTCTGCTATTATATGTTTTCTCCATTAATAAACAGTAGCTGTTCATTATAGTGATTTTTAGAAAACCACACAAGCCCAAGAGCACACGGTGCCCGTCCTGCCACTCAGCAGCCTCCATGAACATCTTCAGGTGCTGTGATCTTTCCTCACACACAGGTTTCCGGCACTAACAGCTTCCACCTTGACCCACGCATAGTTTAGCATCCTGCCTGCATTTTAACTTAGCGTGACCGACAGCATGAGCATCTTCCCCGATGACGTGACCTGCGTGGGAACGGCGCCACGTCTGCGCGCTGTCCTGCGGGGACACGCTCTGCCTAGCTGCATCTCTGCTGCTGAGTTCGTTGGTGTTTTTATAATCCCGCAGCTTTACGAGGATATCCCCATCTGCCGTCTCATTTCTTCACATTTCACGCTATTTCCTCGGGTAGATGTCCAGGAATACACCTGCTCCTTCGACAACAGGGGTGGGCGTGGGGAAACGGTCGCCCAGGTACTGAGGGGGGGAACATGCTTGTTGACTTGGGACTTCCTTTTCTTACAGCTGTCTCATATACAAATTACAAGAAAACCCCCCCACCAGTGCCCCCTCGGACCACCTCCAAGCCTCTGATCTCGGTGACGGCGCAGAGCAGCACCGAATCCACCCAGGATGCCTACCAGGACAGCCGCGCCCAGAGGATGTCCCCATGGCCCCAGGATGGCCGCGGACTCTACAACTCCACGGACAGCCTGGACAGCAACAAGGCCATGAACCTCGCCCTGGAGACGGCCGCAGCCCAGCGCCACATGGCTGACGGCCAGAGTGGCTCCGCCCGGACCAGCGACAAAGCCATCCTGGTATCCAAGGCGGAGGAGCTCCTCAAGAGCCGCTGCTCCTCCATCGGGATTCAGGTAGCCGCTTGTGGCCGCTCGTCGGGGCCTGGCTTCAGTCAGTGCTGCAGGTGGCATAGAAAAAGCCCAATCCCGGCCAGCAGCCCTGGGTCCTCCTTAGTGACCGCAACCCTCAGCCAGGCCACAGAACCTGAGAGCGAGGCTGTGCGTTCACGCTGTGGACCCGCCAGCACAGCCAGTAGGCGGGAGACCCCCGAGGCGACTCGGACCTCAGTGCAGGGCTGAAGGAAACCCGGGGGCTCCAGCTCCCCATCCCCTGCCCCCCTGAAAACACACTCCTGGCCACCCATTTTCCAACAGTCAGAGGCTGCCTAGAGAGTATGGAGATAACAGTATTTGATGCTTAAAAGGGGAGGGTTTCTGCTGAAGCCTGATTTTTCAAAAGCTTTCAGCATTGTGGCCAAAGAGTTGAATGGGGGAACCAGAAGGTGCTGGGAAGGAAAAGGTAAAAGGAAAAGCAGGCTGTCCTCAGTACAGAGCCAGGAGGTGCTCACAGGTGCGGGCAGGCCCCTCAGCTGTGGTCACAGATGCCGCATCCGTGGTTTCAGACCACAGACAGATCCGCTGTCCACCCAGGCCCCCAAATGTCTATCCATAATACAGATGTAGCGGACGGTTCTTTTCCCCGTGAATGGAGAGCTCTGGCCGGCTCTGGCCAGCTCCCGCTCACGCCCCTCCCTCTGCAAGTCTGTGTTAAGTATGGCGCTGTGTACCCTGGGGGGCCGGGAGAGTGTCCTGTGGTCTGGGTCAAGTGGTGCATCTCTCTGGGATGTGGCAGATGGGGTTGAGCAGGGCTGGCCACCAAGCCCGCTGCCAACATGGCCCAGCTCCTGCTTCTTTCACCCCTGCATCCAGTGTGCATTCCTCAGAGCTCTAACAGTCAGATTCTGGATGCCGCTGGGGCGGCCCAGGGAGGAGGGTGAGTGGAGCGTGTGTGAGAGCCGGGCTGTGCGGCCCTGGCAGCCAGGCATGCGGGCGGAGAACCGGGGGAGCCGCCCGCTGGCCCAGGGCCTCTGAACCAGGTCTCCACACTGTGGCTTCATTGTTTTGTTTAGGATTCTGAATTTCCAGAGCATCAGCCATACCCAAGGTCAGATGTAAGTACCAAAATGTGCTCCAAAGCCGCGTCCGCATGACTTTTATTTTCTCTCCCTTTTTTGGATGTTCATGCGACCGCTCTTGTCGCCTCTCTCTGTCCTGATTCTATATGCCAGGCACTATGCTGGGTGCCCCCACCTGTCCCCTGTTAGATGAGGACAAGGGGCTCACCAGGGTCCGTAACCTGCCCCCAGCCCTGGGCCTAGCTGGGCTCTGGTGCCCATAAGTAGGAAAGCCAGGGTGCCCTCATCCATCTCTATCTCCACGGTCACATCTGCAGTAGAGACTGGAGAGGTCCCGGGATTAGCCAGGCAGCCTCCCACTGCCAGGCATTCCCACCCTCTCTCTCTTTTCTCCCCTGCCACCTCCCACATCCACTCAGTCATGACTGAGGCAGTGCCCAATTCTGAGCACCTGCAGTACGGACTTGATCTGAAAGGAGTGGGACATAATTTTGGAATCTCAGGTCAGCACACCGGGCACAATGCCACTGCCTCCTGCCCCACCCACAGCCAGGACCCCACACCCCTCCGTGGTCAGCCCTCTTCTGCTCCCGGCTCCCACCCCTTACACAGCCACCTCTGCTGAGTGCAAGCTTCTCATCCCCCGGCTTCCCCTTGCCTTCACCCCTTCCCAGAGGCCTCTCTGGACCCTCATGCCCCATACTGTGTCCTATGAGAGGGACTCTGGACCCCAGCACCCCACATGTCCTGTGAGGGGGGACCTTGCTCCCAGCCTCTTGCTGCCCTGCACCCAGCACCATGCCTGGCACATAGGGAGTGCTCGGTAAATGTCGGGAAAGCGAGTGGACGGATGGGCCGCTGGGTGCGTGCTGGGCGAGGATGGATGCAAAGGCAGGAATGCAGGTGGATGACGAAGTCACCTTTCATGGCAGTAAGAAAAACAAGTGCACACCCCAGTGTGTTTTCTGTGCATCCTGTGAGCTGGTGAACTCAGTTATCCAAGGGAGGTGAATTGAAAAGCCACAGGGCAGATCTACCTGGAGCAGCTCAAGTGTCAGGATAAGGAAAACAGCCAAAGAAAGAACTGAAGCAAGTCCAGGAGTAAAGGAGGAAAAGAAGGAAGTGAGGAATGAAGTGGATGAAAGGCAGATTCCCGTAGGTGCCTGGGAGGCCTCAGGAGAGGAGCTGCAGACGCCAGCTTGTCAGGGCGGGTGACAGGCTGAGATGGGCGGGAGCAGGCTGTGGACAGGTGCCATTTAATCCTCACAAGAACCCTGTGTGCTGGTTGTTACTGTGCCCAGCCTTTGGAATGGAAAACGGAGGCTCAGGGAGGGTCAGTGACTTGCCTCAAGGTGCACAGCCAAGGTCACAAGCGAAGCCAGTGGGTGAGAATCTGGAGCCGCCTCCCCTGCCTCCCCTCCGCCCCTCCGCTCTACTTCCCAGAGGAGAAAAATCCCAAAATGATTCCATGCCCTCAGGGGCCTGCCCTGGTTCTTTCCCTCTTCTGGGATATGGGGACGGCATCATGCTGCTCCCCAGCTCGCAGGCAAAGCTGGCTAATGTGTGTTCAGGCAGCATTTAATGGACTGGCTTCCCAGAGCCACAGCTCCAGGGACCTTTGGGGGTGGTTCTGTCAGAGTGCAGGTAGCAGGAGAATCTGTGTTCTGCAAACGTCATTCCCACAAGTGAACAGCCTCTGTGCCTCTGAACATACCACATGTGGAGCGCACAGAGCGAGAGCTCCAGTCAGGGCGCAGTGGCGCCGTCCCTCAAGGCAGCTCCCCACTGCATTGGGCATTGTGTGACCTTTTACAATCAGGGTCTGAATTCAGGATTCTCATGATAATTACTGGGCTGTGTCTAACGTGATCCCCAGTGAGTGAGGGTCCTCAGCTCACACCTCCTAGGCCCCCATCCTCCCTCCCTGCCTAGCTGCAAGTCCCCTGTTCCTCAGGTGGCTGGACACGGCCACATGAGTCTGGCCCTTAGAGCGGGACACACAGACAGGCCTTTTCAGAGCTCCAGATTGGCAAGCCAGTTGCCCAGAGGACAGAATGGGCCCCGCCCTGGCACTCATAGGCCAGTCCTAGATAAGGAGGAGAGCTTGTGGGCACAGCTGAGCTGCCTCGGAGAGGTCCTCTGACCCAGAAGTCACGGTCTGGCCTGACCTCACTTCTCTTGGCTACGACGGGACCATTTGTGTGTTCTCTTGGTTTTACCCCTGGCGGTCTGTCTCTCCTGCTGAGTTTTCCATTTTCTTTTGTGTGCATGTTTACTCCCAGATACTGCAGTTAGGCAGGACAGAGGCCTAGTCTGACATTCAGGACCCTTCCATCCCTGGTGCCTTGTGAGTCCCATCTTTATAAATGAGATCAATTTTGGGGTTTTTTTTTTTTTTTAGATGGAGTTTTGCTCTTGTTGGCCAGGCTGGAGTGCAGTGTGCTCAATGCATTGTCCGCCTCTCAGGTTCAAGCCATTCTCCTGCCTCAGCCTCCTGACTAGCTGGGATTACAGGTGTGCACCACCACACCTGACTGATTTCTATATTTTTGGTAGAGATGGGATTTCACCATGCTGGTCTCAAACTCCTGACCTCTGGTGATCCACCTGCCTTGGCCTCCCAAAGTGCTGCGATTACAGGCATGAGCCACCACGCCCAGCCAATGAGATGAGTTACTACTCTGATCTCTCTCACCAGGTTGTGAGAAGACAGGAGCAGCCTGGAAAAGCCTCTGTGGCTGTCCGTTCTGAATGTCCTGCCTGGGACAAAAGCCTGCCAGATTCTCCAGGCACAGGCAGCTGCTCTTCCTCACAGCTGCCCTGGAGCTCAGAGCCTCACAGGCAGCAGAGCTGGCCACTCACCCCTGGCTCTTGGAGGAAGAGCATGTCTCTGAGGGAGAGGGAGTTTGTATCAAATCCAGGGCACCCACTGTGTTCCGTGTGAGGTTTTGAAGGAAGAGCAGAAAATGAGCTTGTTGGGAGAGCAAAGATTACAGATTTGCACTCTGGCTCAGTATTACTGGTGAACGGTTCCTGCCGCCAGCCCCACCCGCATTCATTTTCTCAGCATCCCTACAGAAGTGGGTTCAGAGGCGGCTGGCTGGCCTTGATGCCACGGCTAACCTGTGACTCCATGGGTGTGGGAGTGACACCCATGAGTGATTTTGCTCATTCATATGTTCCTTGCATGCATATATTTTTCAAAACATTTTATAAGAGATGAGGTCTTGCTGTGTTGCCTAGACTGGAGTGCAGTGGTGCAATCATAGCTCACTGCAGCCTCAGACTCCTGGGCTCACATGATCCTTCCCCTCTGCCTCCCAGAACCCTGGGATTATAGCTGTGAGCCAGCATGCCTGGCCTCCGAACTCTTTAAATCCACTTACACTTCTAGCCAGAATTTCCTTTCCACTGTAGAAAATAGTATTTTCTTTGTCCCAGATTTGCTTTTCTGTCTCACGTGAAGCCTCTGTATGCCCAGGATTTCTGAAATGGATAAGCACTTAGCTCCTGCTGGCCAAGTGTGATTTTACCATGTCCTCCTCAGAGTTTACCTTAGAAAGGGTTCACAAGACAGCCATGATAAAATCTGCAGAGTTCATCGTATCCAAGTACCTTTAATGTCATACACATGCCACTATTGCCCTGAGATGAGAGAACAGGGAATTAGCATTTGCTGTGAACAAACCTACCTGAATCAGGCCTCAGGCTGAGAGTTTTCCATCAGTTCACTCAGGCATTGGGTGTTTCCCTCTTTTTTGAGACAAGGAAGCAAAAAGTCAACAAAATTTAAGAGCCTTTCATAAGAGTTGCATGGCTAGCAAGTAGCAGAATCTGACCAGCTCCAAAAGCTGTATTTTTCTAATTCACCATAAAAATATATACTAGAGAAAATTTGGAGACGAAGGAAGGAAAAGCTCCTTGTTACTTTTTTGTACTTTTCACCCTTTCCATGGTACATGTACGTACCTGTTAGTATGAGTGTGTTGCTACATGTGTGCATGCACCTGGTAATTCTGTTGTTCGTGGCACCTGGTAATCTGTGTTTTAAAGTCTGTATTACAAGCATTTTGGGGGTTATTACCTTTATAACCATCTTCTTATTTTTTAGAGACAGGGTCTCACTCTGTTGCCCAGGATGGAGTGCGGTGCTGTAGTCACAGCTCACCGCAGCCTCACTATTCTAGGCTCCCGCGATCCTCCTGCCTCCGCCTCCCGAGTAGCTGGTCCCACAGGCACCACCACTCAGCTATTTTTATTTAAGAGACGGGGGTCTTGCCATGTTGCCCAGGCTGGTGTTAAACTCCTGGGCTCAAGTGATCCTCTTGCCACTGCCTCCCAAAGTGCTGGGATTACAGGCATGAGCCACTGTCACGAGTAAATCATGACTTGCTGCACATTTCTATCCCACTGTCTCACCCTCGTTCTCCTCAGGTGCCACCTTATAAATAATGCTGCAATGAACACCTCACACATTGGTCAGAATTTATGATCCTTTGTCTAGGCTGGATTCCTAGAAATGGAGTAAGTGAGATGAATATTCTCCACATTTTTAAGATAAAAACGAGTGCTCGTTTGTAAAATCCATTTAAAAGTATTCCCTGTGAGTTTATTTCACTCATATCAGATCTGACAGTTATCTAGCCAAAAGTGCGATGCGTCTGGCCCAGACCTCCCACCAGGTGACTGTGTTCACACAAGTTCTCACACACACACGAGTACAGATGTGTATGTGCAGCAGCATCATTTATAACGGCAGACACTAGAAACAACCACATTTCCCCTCTACCGAAGGCTCATTAAATGCACTCGGCCATATTCATAAAATGGAATCCTTTGTAGTTAAAACACAAGGCTGCTCCTTATGTACAGACATGGAATTTTAAATCTATTAATTGTATTACAATCCTTTTGTGTAAAATAACACTAATAATCTTCGTGTCATGCAAGGTAAGGTTTAATAAAGTCGTGACCCACTTAAAACTAGAGGCGGGAATATGGTAAACCCTAACAGGAGGGCCAGGGTCTTCACTCACGGATGTTCTTCCTCCCAGAGCCCGTCTCACCCGCCTGTCAGAACGTGCATCACAGTTTAGGGACAGCTTCTGCGCCTGTCTTCAGAATTACACCGTGAAAGTGGGGTTTCTGCTCAGTCCCCTGGCTCTGTGGCCGGCCACGAGCTCCAGGGTTTCCTCGTGCTTTTTCTTCCATGCTGCACGGGGCTTCATGGTCAGAGATCCGGGCAAGAGCCCTGGCTCAGCCTCCAAGCAGCTGGGCGCCCCTGAGCAGGTCACCCCTCCTCTGATCCCCCAACTCCCTCCTAGGGCTGGAGACTTCGGCAGGGTTGTTGTGTGGATTACGTGTGGTAAGGCTAGAACCTCGGCGCAGTGCCCAGGGCAGCATACGCAACAAGGAAGTACTGGCTGTTACCATCATGCTCTCTCAGCCGCAAAGCAGAGCCACTCCTTGTTGACACAGGCTGACCCTCAGGACAGTCACAAACTGCGGCTCCTCTCCGACTCACACAGGACAGGGTCATCATTATTTGTTTAATGCACCTTTTCCTTGTGCTGATCAGTAATAATTTTCAAGAAAAGTGATATAGCTTAGCTATGACATTTCAGAGAGGGGTCAAAAGTCCTCTTAATAGGCAATGTTTTTCTGGAAAGAGGAATGACACAGGTTAACTAACCTTTGGTTTCACAGAGTTTTCCTCCTGAGACCTTGGGGGTTTTTTGGTTTTGTTTTTTGAAAACGTCCTGCAGTAGAATTCCCTGTGGGAACTTTACGTAGGTGATGATAATTAAAACGCTTTGTGGGTTTGTGAGGGCTTTTTGGCAAACTCAGCCACAGTAAGAATTCTCTGTGGAATTCAGGATTTCTGTTCTGAGCTGACCGCCCTGCTGGCCGTCCCCTTGGCAGATGAGGGACAGCTCTGTGGAGATGAAGGTGGAGCGTTTGCCTTGATGTTTCCGATACATGCTTCAACTCCTGTGTGTCTCTGTACGTGGATGCAGCCATCAGTATGGTTCTCCTGAATCGCTTCTTGTCATCGTTAGCTGTGTTTGGTTCATGCTGTACTTCCTTTCTTCACTGCAGGGTGTGATAAGAGCTCTAAGTCCTGTAATAATGCAGTTCGGCAAAACCTATTTTTTGCCTGAGCTGAACTAAGCAGTTTTATGTGCATACATTTAACAGACCAGAGTGCAGCCTTGAGTTCAGGTAGTTCCGTAAAATGGGATGACACGCAGCAGCGATGTAATTACACCAGTGTGAGTGCATTTCCCTCTGCGATTGTCCTGGGTCAGGTGCATCTCTGCAGCAATTAAACAAATGCATCATTAATTACAGCAAATCATCAACAACAACAAAATAGTCCCTTGCCCAGGCCCCCTGTTTCAGTTCTAAAATAAGATGTTCTATGTTGAATCAGGTGGAAACGGCCACAGATTCCGACACAGAGAGCCGCGGCCTGCGGGAGTACCACTCCGTCGGTGTGCAAGTGGAAGACGAGAAGCGGTAAGTCAGCCCCTCCTCACACGCAGGGCCCCCAAGCCAGAGCTCTTTGTCAGATGCTGATGGAAGCTGCTAGATCCTGTGGCCCTCAGTCATGCCGCAGTGGAGACCGGGCCATACATTTATGCTTTTCCATTGATTCCAGTATGAATTAACATCCGTCTATGTCTTGCTTTTGCAAGAGGCCAGGGAGTAATTCCTTCCAAAGCAATTTACCACCTCTGGAAGGAGAGCAGCTGACAGCTCTGACAGTCAGAGTCCTTGGTCCGCAGGAAGGAAGGACAGGCTGAGGGTAACACCGACACAGGCCTCACAACCTGTCATGTTAAACATAAAATGACAGAGAGACACCAAAGCACATTCAGGACCTTAATATTACTGTGGAATTGTTTCACTTAAAAATATCACCTCAAAACAGGAAATACCAAGTGATGGCGATTACAGTCCTGCAATTTTTGTAGTGTCAGGATGATCATTTCAGTTTATATTTGAAATAGCATATACTGCCTATTTCATAAAACACATTTTCATGAGACCGTTGCATGGTGAGGGCTCAGCTAGCTTCTGGTAGGGCCAGTGCTGGGTGACCTCCCTCATCAGGGAGCATGTTAGCACCTACCCAGTCGAGATTTTGATTGCAAAGAAATTCCGACGCTGGCTAAGGGCTTCCCAGTTTCCAGGTAGACCTCCTACACCCGGCCATCCTCTGCACCTGGGGGCCGGGCAAGCCACCTTGCTCCTGATCTGTGGCTCAGTGTGCCTCCACATGCCTCCAGCAAAGGGAGCAGGTGGCAACGTCACTAACCGGCTGCACGCACAGCTGTGTGCTCCTGAGGAGTTAGCCTGCAGAGCCACAGGGATGGCTGCAGTGTCCGGAGATGTACAGACGCACACAGACAAACGCACTTACACAACACTGCACAGGCACACAGACACACCCACACAGACACACGCACATACACAACACTGCACAGGCACACAGACACACCCACACAAACGCACTTACACAACACTGCACAGGCACACAGACACACCCACACAAACGCACTTACACAACACTGCACAGGCACACAGACACACGCACTTACACAACACTGCACAGGCACACAGACACACCCACACAGACACAGACGCACTTACACAACACTGCACAGGCACACAGACACAGACGCACGCACTTACACAACACTGCACAGGCACACAGACACACCCACACAGACACACACACTTACACAACACTGCACAGGCACACAGACACACCAACACAGACACACGCACTTACACAACACTGCACAGGCACACAGACACACCCACACAGACACAGACGCACTTACACAACACTGCACAGGCACACAGACACAGACGCACGCACTTACACAACTGCACAGGCACACAGACACACCCACACAGACACACGCACTTACACAACACTGCACAGGCACACAGACACACCCACACAGACACAGACGCACGCACTTACACAACACTGCATAGGCACACAGAGACACACAGACACACGCACTTACACAACACTACACAGGCAGACACGCCCACTTACACAACACTGCACAGACACACCCACACATATGCATTTACACAACACGGCACAGGCACACCCACACAGACACAGAAACACGCACTTACACAACACTGCCAAGGGCACACAGACACACCCACACAGACACAGACACGCACGTACACACTGCACAGGCACACAGACACACCCACACACAGACACACGCCCTTATACAACACTGCACAGGCACACAGACACACGCACTTACACAACACTGCACAGGCACATAGACACACAGACACATGCACTTACACAACACTGCAAAGGCACACACACACTTACACAACATTGCACAGGCACACAGAGACACAGACACAGACGCACGCACTTATACAACACTGCACAGGCACACAGACACACCCACTTACACAACACTGCACAGGCACACAGACACGCACGTACACATTGCACAGGCACACAGACACACCCACACACAGACACACGCACTTATACAACACTGCACAGGCACACAGACACACCCACTTACACAACACTGCACAGGCACACAGACACACCCACTTACACAACACTGCACAGGCACACAGACACCCACACATAGACGCACGCACTTACACAACACTGCACAGGCACACAGAGAGACCCACACAGACACTTACACAACACTGCACAGGCACACAGAGATACCCACACACAGATGCATAGTCTTACACAACACTGCACACACAGACACCCATACAGACATAGACGCACTTACCCAACACTGCATAGGCACACACACACTTACACAACATTGCACAGGCACACAGAGACAGACACATGCACTTATACAACACTGCACAGGCACACAGACACACCCACTTATACAACACTGCACAAGCACACAGACACCCACACACAGACACGCACGTACACATTGCACAGGCACAGACACCCACACAGACACAGACACGCACGTACACACTGCACAGGCACACAGACACACCCACACAGACACATGCACTTATACAACACTGCACAGGCACACAGACACACCCACTTACACAACACTGCACAGGCACACAGACACACGGACTTACACAACACTGCACAGGCACACAGACACCCACACATAGACGCACGCACTTACACAACACTGCACAGGCACACAGAGAGACCCACACAGACACACACACACACTTACACAACACTGCACAGGCACACAGAGATACCCACACATAGATGCATAGTCTTACACAACACTGCACACACAGACACCCATACAGACATAGACGCACTTACCCAACACTGCATAGGCACACAGAGACACCCACACAGACACAGACGCACGCACTTACACAACACTGCACAGGCACACAGAGACACCCACACAGGCACACGGACCCACAGACCACACAAGACACACTACAAAGATACACATATATACACACCTTACACTGAGTGCACACATACACATGCACACAGAGACACCCACACAGACACAGATGCACGCACTTACACAACACTGCACAGGCACACAGAGACACCCACACAGACACAGATGCACGCACTTACACAACACTGCACAGGCACACAGACACACCCACACAGGCACACGGACCCACAGACCACACAAGACACACTACAAAGATACACATATATACACACCTTACACTGAGTGCACACACATGCACACAGAGACACCCACACAGACACAGATGCACGCACTTACACAACACTGCACAGGCACACAGAGACACCCACACACAGACGCACGCATGTACACAACACTGCACGGGCACACAGAGACACCCACACAGGCACACGGACCCACAGAACACACAAGACACACTACAAAGATACACATATATACACACCTTACACTGAGTGCACACACACACGCACAGAGACACCCACACAGACACAGATGCACACACTTACACAACACTGCACAGGCACACAGAGACACCCACACAGACACACGCACTTACACAACACTGCACAGGCACACAGACACCCACATAGACACAGACGCATGCATGTACACAACACTGCACAGGCACACAGAGACACCCACACAGACACACGCACTTACACAACACTGCACAGGCACACAGAGACACCCACACAGACACACGCACTTACACAACACTGCACAGGCACACAGACACCCACATAGACACAGACGCACACATGTACACAACACTGCACAGGCACACAGAGACACCCACACAGACACAGACACACACAAACACTGCACAGGCACACAGAGACACCCACACAGGCACACGGACCCACAGACCACACAAGACACACTACAAAGATACACATATATACACACCTTTCACTGAGTGCACACACACACATGCACACAGAGACACCCACACACAGACGCACGCACTTACACAACACTGCACATGCACAGAGACACCCACACAGACACATTTACACAACACTGCACAAGCACACAGAGACACCCACACAGACACAGACGCATGCACGTACACAACACTGCACAGGCACACAGACACACCCACGCAGACACAGACGCACGCACTTACACAACACTGCCCAGGCACACAGAGATACCCACACAGACACACGCACTTACACAACACAGGCAGACACACCCACACACAGACATACGCACTTACACAACTGCACAGGCACACAGACACGCACTTACACAACACTGAACAGGCACACAGAGACACCCACACAGGCACATGGACTCACAGACCACAGAAGACACACATATATACACACCTTACACTGAGTGCACACACACATATGCACAGACACCCACACAGACAGACGCATGCACTTGCACAACACTGCACAGGCACACAGACACACGCACAGACAAAGACGCATGCACTTACACAACACTGCACAGGCACACAGAGACACCCACATAGACACAGAGGCATGCACTTACACAACACTGCACAGGCACACAGACATACCCACACAGACACAGGCACACAGAGACACCCACACAGGCACACGGACCCACAGCCCACACAAGACACACTACAACGATACACATATATACACACTTACACTGAGTGCATACACACACATGCACAGAGACACCCACACACAGACGCACGCACTTACACAACACTGCACAAGCACACAGAGACACCCACACAGACACAGACGCACGCACTTACACAACACTGCACAGGCACACAGACACCCACACAGACACAGATGCACGCACTTACACAACACTACACAGGCACACAAACTCCCACACAGACATAGACGCATGCACTTACCCAACACTGCACAGGCACACAGAGACACCCACACAGACACAGACGCACGCACTTACCCAACACTGCACAGGCACACAGAGACACCCACACAGACACAGACACATGCATGTACACAACACTGCACAGGCACACAGACACGCCCACACAGACACAGATGCATGCACTTACACAAAACTGCACAGGCACACAGAGACACCCACACAGACACAGACGCACGCACTTACACAACACTGCACAGGCACACAGAGATACCCACACAGACACAGATGCACGGTCTTACACAACACTGCACAGGCACACAGACACCCATACAGACACAGACGCATGCACTTACACAACACTGCACAGGCACACAGACACCCATACATAGACGCACGCACTTACCCAACACTGCACAGGCACACAGACGCACGCACTTACACAACACTGCACAGGCACACAGAGACACCCACACAGACACAGACGCATGCACGTACACAACACTGCACAGGCACACAGAGATACCCACACAGACGCACGGTCTTACACAACACTGCACAGGCACACAGACACCCATACAGACACAGACGCACGCACTTACCCAACACTGCACAGGCACACAGACGCACGCACTTACACAACACTGCACAGGCACACAGAGACACCCACACAGACACAGACGCACGCACATACACAACACTGCACAGGCACATAGACGCACGCACTTACACAACACTGCACAGGCACACCGAGATACCCACACACAGACGCACGGTCTTACACAACACTGCACAGGCACACAGACACCCATACATAGACGCATGCACTTACACAACACTGCACAGGCACACAGACACCCACACAGACATGGACGCATGCACTTACCAACACTGCACAGGCACACAGAGACACCCACACAGACACAGACGCACGCACATACACAACACTGCACAGGCACACAGAGACACCCACACAGACACAGACGCACGCACATACACAACACTGCACAGGCACATAGACGCACGCACTTACACAACACTGCACAGGCACACCGAGATACCCACACACAGACGCACGGTCTTACACAACACTGCACAGGCACACAGACACCCATACAGACATAGACGCATGCACTTACACAACACTGCACAGGCACACAGACACCCACACATAGACGCACGCACTTACTTACCCAACACTGCACAGGCACACAGACGCACGCACTTACACAACACTGTACAGGCACACAGACACGCCCACACAGACAGACACACACACACAGACACACCCACACAGACACAGGCACACAGAGACACCCACACAGACACAGACGCACGCACTTATACAACACTGCACAGGCACACAGACACCCACACAGACACACCCAGACACAGACGCACGCACTTACACAACACTGCACAGACACGCAGACACACCCACTTACACAACAGTGCACAGGCACACAGACACCCACACAGACACAGACGCATGCACGTACACAACACTGCACAGGCACACAGAGACACCCACACAGGCACACGGACCCACAGACCACACAAGACACACTACAAAGATACACACATATACACACCTTACACTGAGTGCACACACACATGCACACACAGATGCACGCACTTACACAACACTGCACAGGCACACAGACACACCCACACAGACACACGCACTTACACAACGCTGCACAGGCACACAGACACCCACACAGACACAGATGCACGCACGTACACAACACTGCACAGGCACAGAGACACCCACACAGGCACACGGACCCACAGACCACACAAGACACACTACAAAAATACACATATATATACACACCTTTCACTGAGTGCACACACACACATGCACACAGAGACACCCACACACAGACGCACGCACTTACACAACACTGCACAGGCACACAGACACACACACACGCACTTACACAATACAGGCATACAGACACACCCACACACAGACACGCACTTACACAACTGCACAGGCACACAGACACACGCACTTACACAACTGCACAGGCACACAGAGACACCCACACAGGCACACGGACCCACAGACCACACAAGACACACATATATACACACCTTACACTGAGTGCACAGACACCCACACAGACAGACGCACGCACTTATACAACACTGCATAGGCGCACACAGACGCACGCACTTACACAACACTGCACAGGCACACAGACACGCACACAGACGCACACACTTATACAACACTGCACAGGCACACAGACACCCACACAGACATAGACGCACGCACTTACCCAACACTGCACAGGCACACACAGACACCCACACAGACACACAAACACACCCGCACAGATACATGCACTTACACAACACTGCACAGGCACACAGACACACAGACACACGCACTTACACACCCACTTACACAACACTGCACAGGCACATAGACACACACAACACTGCACAGGCACAAAGAGACACCCACACAGGCACATGGACCCACAGACCACACGAGACACACTACAAAGATACACATATATACACACCTTACACTGAGTGCACACATAGACACAGACACACGCACTTACACAACACTGCACAGACCCACAGACCACACGAGACACACTACAAAGGTACACATGCATACACACAAGTGCACACACACACATGCACACAGACACCCACATAGACACAGACACACACACACAAACACTTCACAGGCACACAGACCCACAGACCACATGAGACACACTACAAAGATACACATCCACATGCACACAGAGACCCACATAGACACAGACACCCACACTTACACAAACACTGCACAGGCACACAGATCCACAGATCACACGAGACACACTACAAAGATACACATATATACCTCACACAGAGTGCACAATGCACACAGAGACACCCACATAGACACAGACACACACACTTAAACACTGCTCAAGCACACAGACCACATGAGGCACACTACAAAGATACACATACATGCACACCTCACATCGAGTGCACACACACACATGCACACAGACACCCACATAGACACAGACACACACACACAAACACTGCTCAGGCACACAGACCACACGAGACACACTACAAAGATACACATACACACCTCACACCGAGTGCACACACACACACTACACATACATACACACCTCACACCAAGTGCACACACACACATGCACACAGCATTCTCACTCAGCACACTGGTCTCCAATTACGAGCTCCTTCCTACCAGTTACTTCAGTGATCAGCTCTGTGGAAATGGACAACACTGAAAAACATGTTCACTGTGTATCTTTTAAACACCTGCCGAAGTCAGAATTTGGAATCATTATTTTGCATACAATTTGCATACAAGGGTGAATGAGGACCTATTAATTTATCCAGAGAGAAGTGGCTTGGGCCCTGAATCACGATTTGGAAGCCACTAAAACAGTATGATGTGGATGTTGCGGGGACCCACGGCGTCAGCTGCATAAGCTTGTAGCATGTTTCCTTCTGAAAGGGAGGTAGCCATTTGCTGATAGTGGGTTCATGAAACACACTAACTCTCACTGTATCATTCAATGAACTTAAATCCCAAGGGGGCATTATTTAGGCCTTAAGACGTAGGTAGATGTTAAAGTTTAATTATTTGCAAAAACAAATGTTCTTCCCTAGATGAAACACCCGCAGATTTCATGGACAAAGCGCTCACCCGTCCTTGCGCTGCTGGGCCGCTGTCCTCAGGAGGGTTCTCGATAAGCTACATGTGGGACTTTGTTGCAGGAGGTTCTCTCAGAAAGAGAGAACCTTACCATCTGTCTTCCTTCCCTCCTTTTGCAGACACGGACGTTTTAAACGTTCTAACAGCGTCACGGCCGCCGTCCAAGCGGACCTGGAGCTGGAGGGGTTCCCAGGCCATATCACCATGGAGGACAAAGGCCTCCAGTTTGGTTCCTCCTTCCAGCGGCACTCTGAGCCCAGCACCCCCACCCAGTATGGCGCGGTGAGAACTGTACGGACGCAGGGGCTCTTCAGCTATCGGGAAGACTATCGGACCCAAGTGGATACCTCCACCCTGCCCCCTCCGGACCCCTGGCTGGAGCCCGCCCTCGACACGGTAGAGACTGGGAGGATGTCTCCCTGCCGCAGGGATGGCTCGTGGTTCTTGAAGCTCCTGCACTCGGAGACGAAGCGGATGGAAGGCTGGTGCAAAGAGATGGAGAGAGAGGCAGAGGAGAACGACCTCTCCGAGGAAAGTAAGGGCTCAGGCCTCCCCAGGGCCTTTCCACATAATTTCTCAGTAGTGCAAGTGAGTGCATCACAGCATTCATGGAGAAAAGTTCCTTCCTTCGATATTGCAGTGAACGAAAATAAATGTGCTGTCTACTATATCCCCCTCAATTCCAAGATGTAAATTACATGAAAAGAGAAGCAGTCACTAAGGTATCGAAGGAAGAGTGCGTGTGTGCTATGTCGTCAGGTAAGTTGGATGTGAGATCAACTGTGCTGACGCTTTCCTGGGAGTACAGTCAATCCCATATTCCACTTACCATGTCCCTTGAATTTTGGCAAAAGCTTGATTTAGAGAATTTTTATTATTTTCTAGTATTATCAGCCCATGCTTTGCAAGAAAAGGCCTTGGCATTATGCCAAAGAGAAACACTGAAGATCAGTAAAAGATAAAGCTGGTTAGCTACGTGATGATTTGCCTAAGGCCTCACACCTGAGCAGGATGGGACGCAATGTCATTCCCCCACCAGGTGTCACCAAGCAGATCTGTCCCAGCCCCTGTAGGGCGCACCTGGGCCCTCGCCTCTCCATGCGGATGGGGACAGCCCCTCATTCTCCACCTTTCTCCCATTTGTCTAGAGAAACCTACCATCAAGAACGTTCAGGCCAGTAGCTCACGCCTGTAATCCCAGCACTTTGAGAGTCAGAGTCCGAGGCTGAGGCGGGCGAATCACCTGAGGTCAGGAGTTCGAGACCAGCTGGGCATGGTGGCACGTGTCTGTAATCCCAGCTACTTAGGAAGCTGAAGCAGGAGAATCACTTGAACCCCGGAGACAGAGGTTTCAGTGAGCCACGATCGTGCCACTGCACTCCAGCCTGGGCAACAGAGTGAGACTTTGTCTCAAACGAAAAGAAAAAGACAGGTCAGAAGCAGCGCCCATTATAAGTCGCTGTATGTATGATTTCTAAGCTAATAGCACCTGTCTGTTTACAGACCAATTAAATAATTGCAGAATACCTACAACTAATGCTTATGTTGAAGACAGTACAGTTTCACAAAGCTATTTCTGAATGTCCTTGACTTGACAAATTTGCTCTTTCTAAAGTGTTTTTCTTTTTCTATGAGTTTATTTGTACATTTACAAGATCACTATAAAGGATAGCTGAGATCCCTGGGAATCTGCCCTGACACTGCACTTCTAGGTGAATGACTTAATAGTGTACTCACTAATCCTAGAAACGGAAGTGTAAGTCACAGCACAGTTTCATCACTGCAGAGAACAACGGCCTTGCAGCCTCAGCAGTCTGAGAAAGTCATTGGGGTGCTGGTTTTCGGTTGTTATAACGTAAGGTGTGAACCTGGGAAGAAAGAACGATACTGCCTTTAATTGACGATCCCTGCTCTTCCACATTTCTCTCTCCATCAACAAACTGCATGTATTCTTTACAGGAGAGGACGCTGGATGCCGAGTGTTGGGGAGGAGGCGTTGCCAAGGGAAAGCCTTCCTCCTGGCACGGGGCGGGGCAGGCCCCAGGGGCGGCGCATGTCAGCGCGGCCGTGTTCCGATCATTCACATAGCATTTCATTCCTCGTGGTTAGGCTACATTTAACAGAGTGTTCACAATGTTGACATTTAAAAATCACTCATTTTCTGCAGTATCCTCCCCCCATTGGGATACGCCCCAACGTGGCAGAACCGTCTTCATTATAGAAGAGATTTATCATCTTTAGCACAAAGCTAAAACAGAAAAACTGCATTGCCTAGGTTGATGCCAGACTCGAGTTACATTGCCAGCTCTAGTTTTGTGTCTGCTGACAAGGGCAGCCTAGGGCTGGGGTCCTTCCTTCCAGGATCAGAGCAGATGGTGAGAGGTGAGCATCGCTCAATCAAAATGTGTTTTTTCTACATCATGAGGTTCCTCAAAAGGACACCTTTGAAGAGGAGGAGGGAGAGGAAAAAATTCAGAAAGAGCTCATGTTTGTCAGGGCTTAGCCCATAAAATGCCTATAAAATTGTATTATATTATCATTTGAGTTTATCCCATTCGGGACACATTCAGAAAGTTGTGGGCTTCTTTGGAAGGTGTGAGCCTTCGAGACATTAGCCAACACTGTGTTTATAACACAGAGTACTTCCCGTCACTATTTTTCATGTTAAGTGTGTACTTTCAATTTAGTTTTTTCAAGGATTATCATTTTTGAAAAGATATCTTTATAAAAAAAAAACCAAAATCCTAAGCTGGGCACAGTGGCTCACACCTATAGTCTCAGCACTTTGGGAGGTGAGGCAGGTATTGCTTGTGCCAGGAGCTTTACACCAGCCTGGACAATACAGTGAAACCTGTCTCGACGAAACAATAGTAATAATAATTAAAAACTTCTTAAGTAGCCTGGTGTGATAGGCACATGCCTGTAGCCTCAGCTACTCAGGAGGCTAAGTTGGGAGGATCACCTGAGCCCCAGAGGTAGAGGCTGCGGTGAGCCAAGGTCATGCCATCCCTCCAGAACAAGGCCCTGTCTCAAAAAAATAAAGACTATCTAGAGCAGTTCTCACTGAACATATATGAGATGTCAGGTCCTATACCGAATGCACGACAGACCTCATTAATGTCATCCCAGCGGACCAGGCGGGCAGTAGTGTAAGCATTCTAAAGACAAACTGGGGCTCTGAGAGATTAACATCTTTCCCCAAATTACAGAAGAATAGCAATGACTCAGGACTGGGAGTCAGAACCATCTGGCGCTGAATGCTGTGCCTTTCCACCCCGTGGTCTGAAGGTGTCAGGTCAAAATGTTCCCTTATGGGAAGGCTCCCCTCCACTGCCTGCTTCTGCACTGGATTCACATGCCCTCCTTTCTCCTGCTGTTTCAGAGAAGCTTGTGTCCCATCCCTGACCCTTCATCTCATCTGATCGTCCACAGCTGTGACCCATGTGTGGTCCACAGGGAGTCCCTCAGCAGCGGACACAGAGCCCAAGGTCGTCCCGCATTAGCCATTGGAAAATAGGTGGTGGGCGCTACAGGGAGGCAAATGCTTTCTCAAACCAAGAATGAAAGTTCTTACAATTAAAGGCATTAGTGCCGAGGCCCAGTCGTAGGAGGTCCTGATTTTCTGTCCCTGGAGGCATTCCAAAACATTCTATAAGTTATGTCCTAAAAGCACTACATACAAAGTTGAATTTGATTACATATAGGGACCCAAATCAACAGCAAGATTCCAAAATCTTAGAATATATAGTATTTTTTTGTTTTCTTTGCCCAGGCTGGAGAGCAGTGGCACAATCTCAGCTCACTGCAACCTCCACCTCCCTCATTCAAGTTATTCTTTGCCTCCACATCCCAAGTAGCTGGGATTACAGGCACGTGCCACCACACCTGGCTAATTTTGTATTTTTAGTAGAAATGAGGTTTCACCATGTTGACCAGGATGGTCTTGAACTCCTGGCCTCAAGTGATCTGCCCGCCTCAGCCTCGCAAAGTGATGGGATCACCAGTATGAACCGCCACGCCCAAGCAGGTTACACAGTGTTTAAATTTCACTTACCTTATTATGATTATTATTATGATCGGGCATCTGAAAACTTACTTTCTTCAGGACGGTGGGCAGAAAGTGACTTTTTGCTGCCTCCAAATTACATGTCCCAAGCACATGTTCAGTTGGGTTTGTTGTGGGGTTGTTGTGTGTTTTTTACCTTTTCTGAGCCTTCGGGGTCCTCTGGTGGACACACAGTGATGTCTCCAGTTAGGTTATCTGTTGATACTTGCAGTGGAGCAAGCCGCACTCTGATAGGCAGCAGTGAGTCAGACGTGGTAAGGACCCAACTCTGATTACCTGACGGCGGGAGAAAAAAGACCAGGTCAAACTGTTTACAGGAAACCGTTCAGTGTGTAAGAGAAGTGCAGATAAAGTACCTTAAAAACTCAAGAGGTCTCAGCAATGCTTTCACCTGGGAAGATTCTGAGGAGGCAGCACTTTGCTGGGCTTTGAGGTGCAGGTGGATTTGCTCAAGCAGGTGGAGGGTCATAGAAAAGGAGATTCAAGAGCCCACACTGAGGCCGAGGACAGGGAGCAGGGGCCCCTTTGTCTCTGTCCTCTGGAGGAAGAGCTCCATCAGCATTGCCCTTCCCCCTGCCTGCGGGGACCACTGGGGCTACCTGACCTCACAGAGGCAGAGGACAGGGGAGCAGGGGCCCCTTGGTCTCTGTCCTCTGGAGGAAGAGCTCCATCAGCACTGCCCTTCACCCTGCCTGCGGGGACCATTGGGGCTACCTGACCTCATAGAGCCCTCTGTGGCTGGGCTATTCCCCATGCCCTGGGGGACAGGTGTTTCTCAAAGGATGAAACCTTCCTAAAGTTCCCGTCCTCTGCTGCCACTGCAGATTTTAGGCTCCTTCAATGCAGAGGTCACACTGAACATCATTTATCATCCACCCATAGTGCCTCTCACGTTGCCTGGCATAGAATCCCATGCAAATGGGAACGGCGAGGAAGAAAGGGAAGCAGGAGGATGGGCTGCCTTAGGAAACGGGAAGCCACCCTCCTGCTCACACTGCCGTAAATGCAGAATATCTAGAATCCCAGAGAATCACCTGGTTGTCCTCAGTTACAGAGGCTGGGAGTAGCTTATGCACTTCCCATTCTATAGCCATCCACTGAGATAACCCTGATTCTGTGAGTCTTTGCTCCACCACTACTTAGTCACAAAACATAACTGCACTGCAATAAACCTAGAACACAAAGAACAAAGAATGGATGCACGTGATATTTTTGTGATTTTCTTAAGTTCTTTTCTTAAATTGCCCAGATACCTTCATATTTTTGTGGACAAAGATGCGGAAGCACCTGTTATGTGTCTCAGCTGTGTGCTTCGTCCATAGAACTATCACAGTGTTAACTAAGTTCAGATAGTTCCCTAGATGTTTAAAAGGTAAGATGATAACCGTAATTTCCAGTCCTCATTTTAGGAGCAGAAACAGGGTTACTGGTTACAGCACATCTTAAAATAAAGATTCAATTAAATGGCTTATGAGACTAAAACTCTGATCTCTGAATATTGAAATTTCCATTATAAATTAATTTTTGCCCAAAATATAATTTCATAACAGTTCACTGAACTGACTGAATGAATCTAGATTCATTCAGTCTTCTGTGGTTAATACAAACTATCATGAATCCAAAGAAACACTGGTTTGCATGAAGTCCTATTAATGCAAGCCTTCTATTGTGAATACATACATAAAGGTATTTTCAAGACATTGTAAACCATTACTAGACTGATGTTTTCAGATCTTTGTACTAATTATGTTAAACCAAATGGGTAAATAAAGAAAAAAATGAAAAATCCGCATGTTTCCTAAAACAAAAGGAATCTTTCCCAAGCTAAGACTTTATTCAGTAATTCCACTGAGATGCGAGTCTCATCAGGAACTCAACAAGGGAGCACATACACACATGGGATCTCTCCGATGGTATCGGAAACTTCCTTGCACCAAACAGTTTCCCCCGAAGTAGCAAATAATCTAAATGTTCACCAGGTCAGATGCCGCAGACCAAGCAAACACTAATGCGGGGAGGAGCATTAGGGATTCGCTCACTAAGGCCTCCTTTCACAGACAGATGACCACAAGTCATATTAACGCAGGAGCTGGGGTCAGATGTGTGGCGCTGGGTCTCCTGGGCCATCTTCCATACTGAGACTCAGGTCTGTGGCTGGGGAGAGGCATCACAGTAGTCGGCACCCACACAGGGGCCAGCAGATGACAAAGAGCCCAGAATGACTGTGAGAATAAGCAGGACACATGTTCCATGCAGGGGACAAGGAGGACAAGACCACAGAGAACTGTGCCTGTGTCCACAGTTGGCCCAGGCGGTCTCAGACCAACAGAGAAGATCGAGGAATCAGAAATATGATGTTTTGAGCACAGCAGATGCCTGGGCACATATTGGCAGCTACCAGCCTTAGGGGTCCGTGTATTGCACAGCTTAGAACGGCCACTGCTTCCAGACCTCCAGGGAGAGGCGGATCATGGACTGTGTCCATTATGCGGATCAAACTGATAGAATCAACCCGCCGACCAAGCCTCTTGCTAAGCACCTATGAAGAGGTCACCACACAACCCAAGTAAATGGCCATGAGGAAACTGGACCATAGAACCACATGGGTGCTTGTCAGCATAGAAAAAGGCAACAGTCAACAAAGTGAAAAGGCAGCTCACAGAATGGGAGGAAATGTCTGCAAACTACCCCGCCAACAAGGGACTAAGAATCAGAATATACAAGGAGCTCAAACAACTCAACAGCAAAGAAACATATAACCCAATTCATAAATGGGCAAAAGACCTGAACGGGCATTTCTCAAAAGACGACATAGCAGGGGCGAAGAAGTACGTGATGAAAGATTCAACACCACTAACCATCAGGAAAGTGCAAATCAGAACCAGGATGAGATGGCACCTCATCCCAGCCAGAATGGCTGTTACCACAAAGACCAAATAAATAAATGTTGGCACAGACACGGAGGAAGGAGAATGCTCGTATACTGTTGGTTGGAATAGGACATAAACAGCCACTATGGAAAGCAGAATGGAGATTCCTCAGAAAACCAAAATTAGAGATAGCATATGATCCAGCCAGCCTACTGCTGGGCGTAGACCCAAACAAAAGGAAATTCATGTGTAAAAGGGATTTCTGCACCCACATGTTTATTGCAGCATTATTTATGGTAGCCAAAATATGGAAGCAATCTAGGTTCCCATCAATAGATGAATGGATAAAGAAAATGTGGTAAGAAAGAAATGTGTGGGAATAATACTCACAGTGGAATATTATTCAGCCATAAAAAAGAATTAAGTCTTGTCATTTACAGCAACATGGATGGAACTGGAGGTTATTATGTGAAGTGAAATAAGTGAAACACAGAAAGACAAACATAATCTCAGTCAGATGTGGAAGCTTAGAAAGCAGAGCTCGGCCAGCTGCGGCAGCTCACGCCTGCAATCACAGCACTTTGGGAGGGCAAGGCAGGCAGACCACCTGAGGTCAGGAGTTCAAGACCAGCTTGGCTGTCTCTACTAAAAATACAAAAGTTAGCCAGGTGCAGTGGCAGGCACCTGTAATCCCAATCCCAGCTACTCAGGGGGCTGAGGCAGGAGAATCACTTGAACCTGGGAGGCAGAGATTGCAATGAGTCAAGATCATGCCACTCTACCCCAGCCTGGGCAACGTCTCCAAAAAGAAGAAAAAAAGGCAGAGTTCATGGAGGTGGAGAGTAGATTGGTGGTTAGCAGAGGCTGGGAAGGGAACAAGAGAGAGGAGGAAGAGAAGTTGATTAATATTCATGGAAACAAAAATGTGGTTATATGGAAGAAATAAGTTGTATATGATAGTACAGTAAGAAAAAAGTTATTGCGTATTTCAAAATAGCTAGAACTGTAATGTTTCCAACACACAAAGATCAATGTTTGAGGTGATGCATGTCCCAGTCACCCTGATTTCATCACAGCACATTGTAGACATGTGTCCAAATAGCACATGTGCCCCCAGGAATATGTGCAACTCTGATAAAGCCGTTGAAAACATGAAGAGAAACGTGCGCTCAAAAACATGAAGATGAGGAGGCCGAGACCTTGAAAGGGGACTTCTGGGAGGCGTAGCTTCGGCAGACCCCACTACAAAATTAGTCACAGGGAATGTCGGGATCTGAGAGGTTACAGATACTCAGATGATCATATCAGACTCTGCAAATTTCATAAAACTCCACATCAAATATTAGAACACCAGAAAACTGTACATTATGTTACTTCCTAGCAAATTTAGACAGAACTGGAATTCTAGAAAAAATAAAACAGCCAAGTATGTTAATCAAATTTCTATTATCCATCAAAGGCGCAGGTTCTAGCAGGTTCCTTGTGAATTTGCATTCTGGTGAGAATGAGTCCTTAGTGCAGCTCCTCAAAGTGTCTAAACCATTTCAAAATTAGAGACATCTACTGAAGAGAATAAATCGAATTTTCACTCCAACTTCCTTGCAATTATAGGAAGCTATTTACATTATAGGCATGAGATAAAACCGTTCCCATTCACTGAACAGCAAAGTTTTCCTGCCATTAGCAGGTATGTCATTAGCCACACTCTTTGACGTTCACTATCTCTCCCCAGCAATATTCAATTTATACCCTTTACAGTAACTCCTCACTACATTAAATCGATACCAAGATACTGCCCATGTATTCATGTTGTGCTAAAGAGTATAAATTGAAGTACGTTGTATTAACAGTTCAGTTGAATTTCACTTTAAGAGGAATGTGAAAATTGGGGATTAAACTTCAAATTTAAAAAAAACCTTTTGAGTTACAGTTTTAGGAAGCAGAGAGTTGGTAAAACAAACTCTTTTATTCATCCACTTCTATCTATTTCTGTAGCAACAACTTGCTTAAAATAATCCTTTTAAATATCTTCATTAATTATGCAGGTTTTAGAATACAAAAGAAATCAAAATTCAACATTTCTTTTTCTATTTTTTGTTTGTTTTTGAGTTGGAGTTTTGCTCTTGTCACCCAGGCTGGAGTGCAATGGTGCGATCTCGGCTCACTGCAACCTCTGCCTCCCTGGTTTGAGCAATTCTCCTGCCTCAGCCTCCCAAGTAGCCGGGATTATAGGTGTGCACCACCATGCCTGGCTAATTTTTGTATTTTTGGTAGACAGGAGGTTTCACCATGTTGGCCAGGCTGGTCTTGAACTCTTGACCTCAAGAGATCCACCCGCCTCAGCCTCCCTAAGGTGTGCTGGGATTACAGGTGTGAGCCATGGTGCCCAGGCAAAATTCAGCATTTCAAAAGCAAAGACGATTCCTCCCCTTGTCATCAATGAGACCAGGGCTGCAGAACACGTTCATTCTGGGGGCATCAGCACATGGAGGAAGAATGAGGCGCTTTCGCTATCACCCCCGCAAGAAACTGCTGAAGCCCCACCACCTCCAGCTGCTTCTCCACTGAATGCATCAGCCCCTTCACTCTCCCCCCACACTCCCAGACTCACCCCAACTCAGAGCCCTGCCAGCTCCATCCTGTGCCACGAGGCCAGCAGCTCCCAGCTTCTTCTCAAGTCCTCCCCTCCCTTCTCCATTCCCAGGCTGGCTGGCAAATCAGATCCAAGGAAGAGCAACCCTTCTTTCAGCAGATTTGTGAATGGCACGAGGCCCTGGTGTTGAGACGCCCGGGAGACAACCCTCCATCCTTCTCTTCAAGACAGACAATGGCAAAGTGTCATCCGAGTTATTTCCTTTCATTAAAAGTTACACCTTTTCATCTTTCTCATACCCTAGAAGCAACAGAGAATTCGATGATATTCAGGAACTACGGTCACCTTCGTGGGGGTGACAGTGACCCTGGTTCTACAAGGTAGTTGCAGGTAAAGGGCTCAGAAAAAGATACCACATGGCAACACTAGCTGCTGTCTACACGGAACGGGGAGGGAGCTGTGGGCTATACTTTCCAATTGTCTGCACGTGTGAAAGGTTTCGTAATAAAACTTTGGGGAGCAAAAGTATCTTCGTTTTAGAAAAATGCATTTTTAAGTCCATTATCTCACCCAGGAGAAAATCACTGTAAGAGCATGTGATACAGAACGCCAGGCCTTCGTGTTCTAACAAGTGAATGGCTTACCGTACACACCGCTGCGTGGCTGGCTTCTAGGTCACAGCGTGTCATAAGCCCTTTCCAATCCAGGTTGTCTCTGCAACAGCATTTTCAACCGGCTCAGAGCATTTTATTACATGAAGAGTAAGGCCCTTTGTGGTTCCTTTTCCCTGAAGTCAGGCTAAGGAGACTCCGCGGCAGCCCTAGCTTGGGCGGCAGGATGCGGGGTCTGTAATGCCGGTTTCTGGATCACGTGGAATCAGTCTCACAAGTAACTGGCTCTCGGACTAACTCTTAAGGAATGTTTGGAGAAAGAGCCATTGTGGAAGAACCTATGGGGATTGAGTGTACCTCCCTGGACCTGGGTGTCAACGTCTGGAAATGCTCTGTAGGCTTCCCTAGTCAGGTGTGCCCCGGGAGCCAGCAGGGGTATCTCCTGAACGCTCGAAAGAAAGGAACTCTCTGGCCTCACCCAGACCCAGTGAGTTAGGCCAGGCCTGGCACGAGATCCCCAGGAAAGTCACAGGTGGGTCTGCAAGGTCCCTTGAGCTTCAGGACCTGCACGTTTCTGGGCAAAACGTCCAGGACATCAGAATTCCCTCGTGAAGTACATAAGCTGAGGGTGCAATTGGGGATGGATCTTTTTTTTTTTTTTTTGAGACAGAGTTTCGCTCTTGTTACCCAGGCTGGGGTGCAATGGCACGATCTTGGCTCACCGCAACCTCCACCTCCCGGGTTCAGGCAATTCTCCTGCCTCAGCCTCCTGAGTAGCTGGGATTACAGGCACACGCCACCATGCCCAGCTAATTTTTTGTATTTTTAGTAGAGACGGGGTTTCACCATGTTGACCAGGGTGGTCTCGATCTCTTGACCTCGTGATCCACCCACCTTGGCCTCCCAAAGTGCCGGGATTACAGGCTTGAGCCACCGTGCCCGGCCGGGGATGGATCTTTCGCCTCTGCCTTTGAGGGGGCGAATCCCAAGATAAATGCCCCTTTTCCTGCCATTTTCCATCAGCCTTGGTGAGTTGGCTTTGCATGGCTTCCTTCCAGCGAAAGCAGGCAAAAGGCTGGACCAGTCAAACCAGCAGCACTTTGAGTTTTAGGGTGTGTCATGTAGGCTGGTGATTCATGCTCTGCAGAGAATCTCCAGGGAGAGCAAAAAGAGCAGGTGAAATCATCCCTTTGTCCAGAAGCAGCAGCAGATGCCCCATGAGAGAGCTCCAGGAAAGACAGCCCCTACGCTGAAAGCTAGTGATGGGGAGACATGGTGCAAATGGAGAAGCGATGAGATGCTTAGATCACCTGCCTCCGGCCTGGTGGGTGCTGACTCAGGCACAGAAAAGCCACATACCGGTACTGGGCACGCTCTGTGGAATCATGTTGAATTGTTGCTCCCCCAGATAAAAGCTAACAGAAATCAGTGGGCCCTGGGTGTAGCGGGAAGACATGGGTTCCAGAAGATTCATGTGTGGTTTCGAGGATCATGGTGAGCCAGGATCTACCAAGGTATCATTTACAAAGCAGTGGCCATGCTCACTGCAGACTCAGGAGTGGCGGTGCCCACGGGGAAGACGAAAAGCCAGACAGCTCGAAGGCTTGGAGACAGGAGGTGTGGGGTTTTCCCTACGCCCCTTGAACAGAGTATTTCATTTGACTAGTCTAATTGCAATTTAAAAAATGCCCCTATCTTTAAGTGGTTAAATTTTTCCCTTCATAGAACTATACTGCGGCCAGTCATGGTAGTTCACACCTGTAATCCCAGCACTTTTTGGTGGCCATGCGGGCGGATGGCTTGAGCTCAGGAATTGGAGGGTGTAGAATCATGCCACTGCACTCCAGCGTGGGTGACAGAGCAAGAGCCTGTCTCTAAAACACGTATATACACACAAGCCAGGTGTGGCGGCTTGCACCTATAACCCCAGCACTTTGGGAGGCTGAGGCAGGCAGATCACCTGAGGTCAGGAGCTCAAGACCAGCTTGGCCAACATGGTGAAACCCCATCTCTACTAAAAATGGTGGTGGGCATCTGTAATTCCAGCTACTTAGGAGGCTGAAGCAAGAGAATCACTTGAACTCAGGAGGCGGAGGTTGCGGTGAGCAACCGGGATTGTGCCATTGCACTCCAGCCTGGGTAACAAGAGCGAAACTCCATCTTGAAAAAAAAATAAAATAAACACACGTATACACACAGTGTATTCTTTACTTTTTTTTTTTTTTTGAGACGGAGTTTCACTCTTGTTACCCAGGCTGGAGTGCAATGGCGTGATCTTGGCTCACGGCAACCTCCACCTCCTGGGTTCAGGCAATTCTCCTGCCTCAGCCTCCTGAGTAGCTGGGATTACAGATGCCCACCACCATTTTTAGTAGAGATGGGGTTTCACCATGTTGACCAGGAGGGTCTCGATCTCTTGACCTTGTGATCCACCTGCCTCGGCCTCCCAAACTGCTGGGATTACAGGCGTGAGCCACCGTGCCCGGCCTATTCTTTATTCTAATATTTTTACTATTTAACCAAATAAAGTCATCGCAATCAGAAACCGTTTGTAGATTATTCCTTCCTGCCTCACTAAGCTGTGGCGTGCTGACTTACAGCGACTCAGAAGTGTAGCGTTAGCATTACACATATACTGGGTACATGCACTGGTGAGCTTAGTAGGTATAAGCATATTCAGGAACTCGTGACCCTCTCACCATCTCCAGGAGGGGAGCCGTGTCTTCCTAGCTGCCACCATCTTCCTATGTGGCCTGTGTCCACGCAGCCTCTTCCTACATAACATGTACCTCAGAGCACTGCCAGGACATAGCTGCCCACAGTTCACTTAACGGAATCCAATGAGAGAACACATACGGATGTTTTTCCTAAAAATGGAGACATTCACATCTAACAGAGTTCACTGACACGTTACAGAGTCCGTAACAAACAGGAGGAACTCGATGTCGCTGCCCCTCACACGTGGTCTCGCGTCTTCCAGCTCATCCAAGCAGCGGCACTGAAACCATCTCGATGCCAAAATAAGGAAAACTCCCTGAAGTTCAGGCCGCCTTTCTAAACTGAATTTCTCCCCACACCCAAGGGGAGTCCTCACCGTGACATTCCTCCGTCGTCTTGCATTTCCTTCATGAGTTGGGGCTGGAGCCGAACGCTCCGCACGACGAAGCCAGAGTTCCCATCCGGTGGAACCCGCTCCCTCCATGTGGTCTTTCTGCTCTTGTTTGATTGACCCAGTTCTGAAGCTGTTTTTCTTTTTTTCAACAGTTCTCGGTAAAATCAGGAGTGCTGTTGGGAGTGCCCAGCTTCTCATGTCCCAGAAATTCCAGCAGTTTTATTGGCTTTGTCAACAGAACTTGGTAAGTGAATCCTCAGAGAGCCCGTTCCCTGTAACCAAGCTGATGGGCATCGTTCCATCGGCCCTCACTGTTTTTTCCTCGTCAAAGAGTTCCTATCAGTATGCAGAGTATCACACCCATTTATCGTAGAAGATACTTCCCACCCTGGGGACAAAGACAGCATGGCCCTGGTTTCAACGTGGCACTGAGGCGGGGAGGCTGCCAGAGAAGCAGGGGCAGGAAGACGGGGCACAGCAGCGCGGGGAGAGGCTGTGTCTTTGCAACTGGATGGCCTACCAGAGCATCTCAGAAGAGGAGAAACCACGGAAATTTCTATATGCCCAATGCCACAAAGGAAGAAAAGGATGTGAGGTGGCTGGAAAAACACAGAGACAACTACAGTGAAGAAGAGATTTGCAGATCATTTGCCTCTGTATTTTATAGATTGTAGTGAAATATAGTATATATATAGTATGTGTATAGGCAAACATATAGTATGTATAAAATATATGTAAGTTTACATGTTAATATATTTTAGATTATACATTTGCCTACACATACATATGTATTTTATAGCCACTATATGTGTAAGTTTACATATACATGTTAATATATTTTATATGTACATTCGTCTACACAGATAGATACGTGTAAATAGACTTTTCCTTAGCTAAGGTATTCACTCTACTTTGAGAAATAGCTAAGTAATAGTCACGCTACTGAATAGGTTGTCTTATACATACATTGATTTATTTTTAGACCAACCATTTTCAGTAAAATGCAAATAGGTCTCCGCCAGGCCTCTGGTTGGTAGCAGTGGTGGCAGGTGTTTTGATTATGTTTTCTTTGGCCTTTTTCATGTGCAAGGAGAAATAAGAATGTTCTTCCACATCAAAGGACATACAAGCAAGCCACAGCTGGATCACGTGTTTTCATTAGCATCATTCAAAAGTATGCCTCCCTAACACCTTCCAATCAGCCCCCCTGACGTTCACCACAAACTTAAAGTCACCAGCACATCACTCTGAGAAAGTCGTCATTCAAAAGGGGGAAACAAAGGTTCTGAGCACCTTGAAAGAAACGTGTAGCTGTTTAAACACTGAGCCATCAGTTACCTGTGCACGGTCTTGCCTTCTCCGTGGTATCTGTGTGTTTATTCCCTTTAAAGGAATGGATTCTGGCCACTGGCAAACTCTGTAACATTCCGTAGACTCAGGTGAGCCCAGCCAGGCACCGTGTTTAGGGAACGGGTTCAGAGCTTCCCACGCACAGCCCGAGGTGCACATTCAGGCTAAGTGTTCCTTCTGCTCTGCCAGAAACAGCTAATATTGGGGCTTAAACTTATTCACCCTCATATTGTTATGCCTTTGAGTTTTGAAATCGTGGGCTTGGCTACATCATTTCCTTTCGACTTCTATTCAGGATTAGTACAAAACATCTCTGAAATGTTTGCCAGGAAAGACGGGTGTGGGGAGGGGGTACTGCCACTGACAGGCCTGGCGGAGGGGAGTGCCCAACTAAGCTGATCTGTCCGCAGCTCAGGGCAGCAGCGCCGCCTGCTGGAGGCTGTCGGTAGGTAACTAAGCTTTAAGCCAGAGTGACCCTGGAAAATGTCACTGAGATTGAGGATGGATCACAGGGAGCAGAGCCTCTCCGGTTCAGGATGTGCAGGTGGCTTGTGACACAACCAGAAAGCACATAATACTGGAAAGATAGCCCGGCGTGGTAGTGGGCACCTGTAGTCCCAGCTACTCCAGAGGCTGAGGCAGGAGAATTGGTGGAACCAGGGAGGCGGAGGCTGCAGTGAGCCGAGATCACACCACCACACTCCAGTCTGGGTGACAGAGCGAGACTCTGTCTCAAAAGAAGCACTGAGAACATTCCCTCAAAGCGTGTGGCCTGATTGCTGTGCTTGTGAGACCAGCAGTGGGACGTCCTCAGTCTCATTTGGACCCACTGAGCCTGCCTCTGAACGTACCCAACCCTGAAGGTGTGTGCACCCGAGAGCCCACCAGTACACACAGAGCTGCCCCAGGCCGCAACACGGGACACAATGGACGCTGGATGCCAGAGCCACAGAGCTGGATGAATTTCAGATGGCCATTTAACAAGGGACAAGGCACTGCCATTGGCTTTTACTGTATTATAAACCATTGGCTTTTTTTTTTTTTTTACTATAAACACCTTATTGTCTCTGAATGTTCAGTGGGTACAGATGCAACTGCCTCCCCCACCAAAAGAGAACAGAAAACACAAACAAAATCTTGACCATGCCAGGCTGTGCCCATCCAGCCCAGCATGTGGTCTGCATGAGCCCAAAGGAAGGGAACGTGGCTGGCCAACGAGAGGGGCATCAGAAGGCAATTCCTGCTCTGAGGCCAGGGCAGCCTCCGCCACAGCAGCCGGCCATGTGGACATGTGACTGGGACCATCCAGCTGTGGGCGCTGGAGGAGAAGGCACTCCGCCTCCCCCATGCCTTCAGGCGCAGCCATGCCCAGCCCTACAGAAAGAAGGGGCGTTCTTAGGTTGGCAGAGACTCCTGGAAGACAGGCAGGCACCACCCCACACAGCATCTGGGCAGCTTCCCCTACTGCTTCTCATCCAGCCTGCCCTGCCCTGCGGCTGCAGCTCCTTGCATCCCTCAGTGACTTCGGTGCAGAACATGGCCTGGTTCCAAGGCACTGTGGTTGACACACCCACAGAGTTCAGGCTCCCGCCTGTGGCCAGGGCCACCCTCCCTGGGTTCCTGGGGAGCTCAAGTGCCTGCCTGGGCTTTGAGCAGCCAAGGCTGCCCTCATGTGGCCGCAGAGAAGAACAGACTCGGCATCTACGTTTATATATGTGCATAGAGGAGGGCAGCCAGGGACAGCAGTCACAGAGCTGTCCAGCTTTCACCAGTGCTGCTCTTCCTGGGAGTGCGGCTGCCCTCAGGTGGGTGCCAGAGAAGGGGGTGGGAGCCAACCGTGATTGTTTTGATGTGGGTGTCGAACGAAACAGAAGTTCGGGTCATGCTGAGTGTGTACTGCTGAACCCGTAAGCAAATCCAGTTGAATGTCCACCCACCAGAAACTCCTCTCTGAGCCCCCGCTGAATCAAGGGAACCACTCCTGGAAAAGCAGCAAGCTGGGCATGCTGGCTCATGCCTGTAATCCCAGCACTCTGGGAGGCTGAGGTAAGAGGGTCACTTGACCCCAGGAGTTTGAGGCCACCTGGGCAACATAGCCAGACCCCATTGCTACAAGATTAAAGAAATTAGCTCAGTGTGGTGGCCTATGCCTGTGGTCCCAGCTACCTGGGAGGCTGAGCAGGCAGATCTCTTGAGCCCAGGAGGTCGAGCATGCAGTGAGCTGGGATCACACCTGCACTCCAGCCTGGGTGACAGAGCAAGACCCTATCTCAAAAATAAATAGATGCAGGCAGCTGGTGGAAATCGTGTATCAGGCACCCTGCAGAGAAACCAAGCACAACTCTGGGCCCCACGCTTCCCGGGGCTGCAGCGCAGAGCCTCACCTGTGCCTCTACAAGTGGGCGCCACTTGGTGAGAACATCCTGTTCCTTGGTGCATTACATTTGTAAGATGTCCTTGCCATTAGAATGAGAGCCAGGAGCCGTCAGAGAACACACAGGTCTAGAACAGGCTCTGAGCTGGCTCCCCGCCGCCACCACCAGGCCAGTACCAAGGCAGGCTCACAGAGCCCTGTCCCTTCTGAATCACCCACAAGTGACCAAAAATACAGGGTCCTACTGCTTTTGTGAGCTGTCAAGCATTTAGAAACTCCCATCAGCCCCATTCCTGGCATTTGCAACGTGGAACAATGAACAGCTGTGCTACCCTTTTTTAAGCCATCAGCAAATGCTTGTGCTAAACTTAACTGTCATCGAGACATGGCACGAGATCCCAAATAATTGTCTCATGGTGGAATCAGCCAGGCTTCTCCCTAATCTGCCTTTCAAGAGGAAAGGCCCAGCCCTGTGCCCGTGGGAGACTCCCAGATCTGAACCCCCTGTGTGTATTCCCAGGACCCCAGCGCCATGCCGAGGCCAACATCGCAGGACCTGGCCGGCTACTGGGACATGCTGCAGCTCTCTGTCGAGGACGTCAGCATGAAGTTCGACGAGCTGCAGCGGCTGCGGCTCAACGACTGGAAGATGATGGAGTCTCCAGAAAGAAAGGTAAGGGCACCTGTGCAGAGCGGGCTCCCAGCAAACACCCTTTCCCGCCACAGTAACCACCTGCTGCAGATACAGCAAGATGAGGTTCTCAGTCTTCTGCTGGCAATACGGAAGCAAATTTTCCTGTATGTACATGTGTTCACATGTGTGTGAGCACGTGCTTGTGTGAGCATGTGCCCCAAGTGGGGCAGAATTGCAGCCTTGGGCACAGGTGGTAAATAATAGGGTCTTTCAAAGACACACCAGCCAAGATCACAAGCAAATCTGTAGCCTCATTCCTGAGAGGGTCTCACCTCTGAATTACTTTCATCAAAATTATTCTGATTGTGTAAATATTAAGCTGGTTTCCCACAGAGAAAGTTTTAGGCCTGATTAGGGACTATCTGCCATTCAATGTACCTTCTAGTATGGCCACTGTGGGCAAGGCGACATTTTACACCTCATTCAACAGTTTGGTGAATTAAGCTTCCTATAGATCAATCAGCCTCAGCCCTTAAAACAGGCTGAGATCTCCCATTAAATCTGACCCTGGTGTTTCACCTCTCCCACGGTGCTGACATCAGAACTGTAGATAGCTCTGAGTCAGCAGCATAGACACTGACTTCCCCACACGTTGTAGGCATGTGCTGAGGAACCACAATTGGCTTTTTCTAGACAAACGCTATAGATTAAAATGATAAAGAAAATCAAGTCAGCATACGTTGGGGAAGCAGGGAGACACATCTGGGTCACCAGAATGAGAGCCAGGGCTGGTCGCCCTCATCATCTGCTTCTCTCAGAGGGTGCCCCTGGCCGCCAGTAGAGTTCCAGGCTAGATGCCACCGACCCACAGGTTCCCTCTCATCCCAGGTGACAGGGGGCAGGTGGTAGTGAGCAGGGTCCACGTGAGCCACGCATGGGACTCGGCAGGTCCAGGTAAGCCACGGTTTGGATCTGAGGTGGAGACCATCAGTGATGTTGCTGACCGCAAAGTCTGCTCCAGCGGAACGTACTTTAGTCCAGGTGCACACAGTGGTTCTGTCTCTTTCCATTCTTTGGTCATCGAGAGCTAATATGAGCCCATCTACCCAAGCTGCATGTAGGGTATGATCCTCAAAACCAGAAAGCAGGTCTCTAGCACAGTGGAGGCTCCATGCCTGAAGAGGCGGCCGGCCCCTCCCGAACATGGCATCTTCAACTTCCATGGGGTGGGCCCTGCATGGCACCTGCTGGACACTCCTACAGGCCCACACCTGCAGGCCAGGGAGCTCCTTTAAAGGGGGGACCCCCACAAGTAGTGCTGATGTGTACGCCTCACAGGCCCATAGTGCAGGGACACCAAAAGATGAAAGAAACCTCGTTTCCTCTTCTCTTGGCATCCCCTGAACTATGATGATAGTTACCACGTGCTGAAAACAAGAATTACTTGTTAAAGTAGCAGAAGGTTGCAGTGAACTCATCCCCCGTTGTTTTAGACGGATGCCAGAAAGTCAGGTAAGAGTCATTGCTTCTGGCCTAGGTCACGTAAAATAAGCCGAAGGAACAAAGTTCCGCAGGCCAAAGCAGCCTCCTTGCCTCACACTCCCGTGCCGCCATGCCGCCGGCCTCCTCATACAACTGCCTGCTGTCCAAGCATCTCTGGGCTCCCCCTGGAATCTTTTTAGAGGCTGAAGACAGACACAAGCAGAATTGTTGTGTTTTTCTCACCAAAAACTAGATACCTGCTTAGGAAAGGAAAGGATTCTGCCGTCTTCCTGGGAGCAGCTGCCCCACCCGTCGCATTTGTTGCAGAACTGTGAGATTTATCTTCCTAAAAAGGCACGCGACGTATTTTGGCGTGACTTGCCCGAGAATCTGAGCCAAGGGTCAAAACTACTTGCATCTTTTTACCAAGCAAGCGAGTGATAGTGGCTTTATAAATATCGTCCATGTCCATGAGATTTTGGGCCAGTAAGAGAATTCGGCCAGTGTATCCCAGTCATGTAAGACGGTTCCCATGAGTCTGCTGGAAACCCTCCAGTGTTTAGTAGGGATGTCCAGCGACATGTCCAAACTCCCCGTGATGCTCTGAGCTTGGCCAGGTAGGTACTGGCCAGTGCTCGGGGAGGAAGTGCCGGGACTGGGCAGCGAGGTCAGAGTCACTCAGTGACTCCGGAGATGCAAGGTGTGAATGTGCAGACAGGTTTTCCTGATTTGTGAACATGGCTGCAGACGCCTCTGGCCCCTTTGAAGAGTTTTAGGCAGCTTACGCAAATGATAAACTGTGCGGACGGCAGACCTATGACCTGGGGGTCAGGGTCCCGGGGAAGTGTGGGAAGGGAACAAAGGATGCCACCGGGAGGGTTCGGTCAGGAAGGGCATGCCCAGACCCCAGGGCCACCGAGCTCACAAGCTCTTAGGACTCCCCCTCTGACCACCCGCCAGTGTTGACTTGTGATGCTTTTCAGGAAGAAAGAAAGGTCCCGCCTCCAATACCAAAGAAGCCCCTCAAAGGAAAATTTCCCATCACGAGAGAAAAATCCCTGGACCTGCCCGACAGACAACGTCAGGAAGCCCGGAGACGACTCATGGCCGCCAAGCGCGCGGCGTCCTTCCGGCAGAATTCGGCCACGGAGCGCGCGGACAGCATCGAGATCTACATCCCCGAGGCCCAGACCCGGCTCTGAGGACGGAGGGCAGCCACCTTCCCCTTGGTCGTTTCTGCTTTTTCACAAAACGCTTGTACAGTTTGTTACCTCCCCGGTGGCTTCTGTCTCATTTCTTCCACTGAACACGCCCTTGCTGTTCTGCTCCTTGTGCCGTGAACACAGTGGAACGTGGTCGGTGGCCTCAGAGTCCACGAGCTCGTGGCGAGGACGACTTTTGCTTTTCTTCACTGGTGGCCTGGCTCACACTCGGCTCTGAGGGACAGGTGTGGTGAGACCTGACTCCTCCGTGTTCTCCGAGGACGGCGAGAAACGCCCCTGGAGCTGAAACCCACCTTACATTTTGTTATTTCTATTTTTATAAATTGTGTGATAATTAGAGGTAAGAATAACAAATAACTATCAATGGGTGCATCTCACCACTCCCTAGAGGCATTAGACACCCAAGGGGAAGGTGCTACAACGCGAAGTGTAGGAAAGAAAGGCCCCTTCCCCTCGCATACCCGAGCTCCTGCTCCGAGTCCGGGGCCCGTCTGCCTGCTCCGCCCTCCTACTCCTGTTTGTCACAAGTAGAAAACATGAGGCTCCTTGCGTGAAGCTTACTGTGATGGACCGTGATGTCTCCAACCACCAAACTCCTCGCCATACGGTTCTCCAAAACCCAGGGGTTGACAAGTCTGAACCCACTGAAAATACCCAGCACCGCATCTACACATTCAAAAGAGAAGCTGAGTGTTCTTAGTGTTCCCACGAGGAAGGGACAGGGAGAGGAGCCTTAGAGGGCTGGGAGCAGAAAGGGGAGAAAACGTCCTTACTTCTACGAAACAGTCGTTGTATTTTTTAACTTCTTTGTACGTTAAAATACAACCCCCAGTATTTTCCTTAAGTTTCACCGTTTATGCTCCATGGGATTTTTTTTAATGTATGTATATATATTCTCAAATTGCTCTATCAGCTGACTTTCCAGGGTATCCTTACAAAAAAAAAAAAAACACAAAAAACAAAAAGTTTGCTTGTTTAAAATGACAGTTGTGATGCTGTAAAAAGTTTAAGAAATATGAATGTGAGTGGTAAGCAGATCTCAGTTTAAATGGTAAAGAAGAAATGTAGTTTACATTTGTATTTTTCCACAATTCTTTTGTCCTATGCAGTATTGCTAAAGAAAAGAATAGATTCCTTGCCTGTGTTAGACATGAAGGAAAAAGAGGTCACCTGTTGCGATTTCCAGCTGTGGAATTCAAAGTAATCAGTGTTCACGACTCTCCGGTCGGCACCGGAGGAAACTAGGAACAGCTGATTAATAGGATTTCCACGAGTATGATTAGATTTAGCTGCCACGACCACTGTTCCCACGTAACTTCTGTTCACCATTCAGACCAGTCTGCAAAGGAAAAGCCTATCCGATCTCTGCACTGGGTTACAGTGTCACAGTTCTCATTATCACTCAGAGTAAAGGCAGGACTGCGATTCCAGACAGACGTTCCCACCCGAATACCAGGTCTTCCTTCCCAGCTTCCAGGAGTCCCGTGTCCTTAGCCACAGGCAGAACAGCTTTCCACCACCCACAGCACTTTGTCTCTAAACTTGATTTGCACTTTACAATGTCCCCGATCCCTCTGCAGCCTGCGTCTGGCAGGGTGTTGGGTGCGCCCTTGTGCCAGAGCATCCTCCCGCGCCGCAGCCACTCCCCTGCCTCATTTCCCACATCCCACTGCGCATGGGACCATTGGGAGCAGAGCTGATATTAAAGCATGTTAGCTTCAAAGTTTTACTTTTTTAAAACTGAGTAAAGATTTCCCTGTAAAAACAAAACCCTGTAAATCAAGCCTCATATCTGGCATATATTTTACCAAACAGCCTTAAAATATATTTGGAAGCAAAAATCAGTACGAATGTATCTCCTTGAAAAATGCAAAAAAAAAAAAAAAATTCCATGAAATATTCTTCTATAAATGAATCCTATTTCCCCAGAGTGTTCAGAGCATTTTTCTACCTAAATAAATACCTAAATCTTGAGTAGTGTACAGTAATGACGCCTATTCCTATATCCACTCTATTATGTTAAAACAAATGTATCTGCAAGAATTGGCATTTTAGACTTAAAATGCTGTACGATTTCAGATGAACTCTGCTGTTTCAGAAATAACCACAGAAAAGCAAAGTCAGTGTACACTCCCAGTGAAAGGAAAGGTATCCTGGATCTGTTACAGACACGCACCTCCTCACATCGTTCCACCTACTGGCAGCTGATATGTTTAACTCATTTCCTTGAACTTAAACAAAACATATAAAAACAAACTGTTAAGGTAGACAATACTTACCTTAGAGCCCAGATTCAGTGATCCCTGCCTAGAGGAACACATTCGCTGGCTGTGGATTAATTTCTTATGTTGTGTAAATTCATTGTTATTTTACAATCCCCAAAAGTCTTAGCCTAAAACCATCCCTAAGTGAGCAGATGAACCCACCACTAAATCGCACAGGGGTTGCTGACTCGACGTGGTGAATGTGCGTGCGCACGTCCTGCCTGGTCCGCCATGTTCCAAAGAAGATGATCCAATGGTAGAACGGATGCCTGCTGCTAGACCTGATGGAATGTGACCCGTCCGCGTTACAGATCCAATGGTAGAACGGATACCTGCTGCTAGACCTGATGGAATGTGACCCGTCCGCGTTACAGATCCAATGGTAGAACGGATACCTGCTGCTAGACCTGATGGAATGTGACCCGTCCGCGTTACAGATCCAATGGTAGAACGGATACCTGCTGCTAGACCTGATGGAATGTGACCCGTCCGCGTTACAGATCCAATGGTAGAACGGATACCTGCTGCTAGACCTGATGGAATGTGACCCGTCCGCGTTACAGAACCAAGTGCAATATACTCAGTTCTCATGCAGGTGACTTTCTACCATGAAACGCAGAGGATAAGCCATGTTGACGTATTGTACATGTAAAGAAAAATAAAACCGTTTATGATACTTGTGTTAGTCACTCAAGCCAACTTATTTCCGCCACTTCTAGCAGATACATGCCATGGAGCTCACATGTGACCACCTCATCATATTTAAAATATAGTTTTAATAAAGGAGTACACATCCTTTGGAAAACACGGCTGAAAAGAATGATGCATGATGTTCCAGGAACATCATCCTGGAGAATGTGGTGTTCACTATAACCCCACAGCCACATTCCCTAAAGATACGGCCGATAACGGGCGAGACGCAGACACTTGCTATGTTGAGGGCTTTAGTTATAAAACACAAGTATGATAAACAGGACTTAGCATCGAACCCAGGAAAGGAGGATGCTGCGTGTTAACCAGAGCACTTTCCTTGTAACGCACCTCACGCGTCTTCATGTGTTATGATTGTGTGTGAAGTAAAACTAGTTGTTATCCACAATTCTTACATTTTTCTCAGCAAATTTACATCACCATCTTAAAGTGGTATATAAAAAAAGGAACTGTTTATGATACCAAAAAGATAGTTTTGTTTAAAAGGAAATATTGATGTTGTCAACTCCAGTTCTAAAAACTTCAGGCACTTAATGGAAAGGCATATGATCAGATAAAAATATAAATTACATGTAAGGTTATCTGGTTTTTTTTTTTTTTTCCTTAAAAAAAAAAAAAAAAACTACAAAATCAGTGCCCTGCTAAGTGGAGGGAATTTCTTCCCCCACTGGCTCTTATGACAGTGACCAGATTGATGAGAAGACACAGTGGCAGAGCACACACATGCACAGGTTCTGCTTCCTTCTCTTGGAGTGTATGTCCTTGTTTCCCTGTCTTGATTTTTGCCTTTTCAATCCCGTATTAAGCACCATTCTTCGCAACCCTTCATTAGAAGGCCCTACATTCGTCAATTGGCTCATCTGTTTTGTTAGGTCCTTGTAAGCATTGCTGCTCCAATCCAGGATGGAATTGGCAGGAAAGTGAAGGGATACTGAGGCCTGCAGGTGACCATGAAATGTGCCCCAGCAGGGACAGCTCTCCGGTCTGGGCCAAACCTTTTGGGCGCGAGTAGGGAGTGAGGGAGGCGGGTGTGAGTCTTCCTCAGGAAGGCCTTTCCTAGCAGCAGGACCTCCATCAAGTCAAGCCATCATGTGGTCCTTAGCACTAAGGGGCCGGGGGGCCTCCTGGGAGACGCAGCTCGAGTTCAGCTGCATTTCATCATTGGCCTTGCTGGGAACTCCGACAGGTTCCCCAGGTGTATCAGTGGACAGGAGCCCTGTGCCATGACTGAGTCAGCCTGGGGACCCCCGTCACCAGTATGGCCATCCTTGTTGATAATGGGCACCCCCCCCAACCAGGGAGAGGTGGCAGAAAAAGTGTAAGAGGGTGTGCGCTGGTACAGACATAGAAGTGTCGCCCCAAACAGCATTGGTTCAGGGAGGGCACCTGGATGCTGCATTTGGCCCCCCACATGTCTGAAAACTGGACTCGCCTCACCCACGAGCACAGAAACAGGCTCCCCCAACATGGGCCTAAGTAACCAAATGCCACACGGTTTGTGCCTGCTCACTTCCCAGCCCTCTTCTCGAGCCTGAACTTCCTGTTTCTTCTAACTGCAAATTTAACAGGCGAGCTTAAAACAGCAGTTTCAGACCACACCCCCTAGAATGTTGGAGGGTTCCCTTGTTTTCATCTGCATGTCTGTCTGCACTTCTTTGTAGGCATGGGTTGAAAACGAGGTTCCAAAACTTGAAAATAAAATAGAAAACCACGAGCTTAAGAGATGGAAAAGATGACCCCTTTCCCGTCAGTGTCCGTAACTCTGTGGGCTAGGGCAATGCACCACGCTTCATCTGGCGCCGCGTCAGCCGTAACACGCCACACAAGGTCAGATCAGATGCCACAGCTTCCCTGCGGGAGGCCCGTCTTCTTGCTCTAGTTGGGAGTTGCGATGCATTGTTGGCCACAAAGTGCTGAAGGAAAGGGTTGCTTCTACGCATTCAGCTGAATGTCCCCCAGCACAGAGTGGCAGCAGAATATTCTGGAAATGCAGGAGATGTTGCTAGCAATCTCTAGGCTGTTTAAACAGGCGGCGTGGCTCTGAGTCACCCTTAGCCAGCAGCTCATCTCACTTCCTCTATGTCTCAGTTGCTTCCTCTAGACAGGGGGTTACAGCTCCTACCCGTCTCCCTCGAGGACACAAGGACACGTTGTGAGGATTAGTGACATATTGGCTCTAAGTCCTTTGAGCTCCCGGAACAGGTGGTGAAAGTTTGAGTTATTGCTAAGGATTAGGCCCTGGCCTCTTCTGGAATGCCGCCCTCCAGCTCTGCAGGGAAGGCTGCCAGAGTCCAGGCGGGTGGCAGACATCTCAGAGCTACTCGGGGACCACCAGAGGCAGAGGCCGTGAGACTGTCTTTGGAAAGGTTTGGAAATGGGGAGATAATGACAAGGGGCATTCTCCTAGCTTCTGGCTTTGATTTTAACCATTTCTAGATGCTTCCAAGAACAAGAACCCAGCACCAGCCAGAATTAGGCCACATTTTCACATTATTTAAGCTCAGTTACCTCTTAGATGAAATGAGGAGATAAACTAAGCATTTAGGTGATGAAGGGAAAGAATGATTTGGAAGCAGGTAACTGCATGCATGGGGAAACAGCAGAAACCAAGTCAGACCCACTGGCTCAAACCATGAAGAGTGTGAGGCTCCCCCGCCGACTCCCTACTTCAGAGAACGCAGAGGTGGTCTGTGGGAAAGCTCCATCTTTCATCCTTGCCACGCTGAAAAATGTCCATAGTTTTACTAACTGCTGTCCTAACCCTGGCGTTTTTATCTAGTGTTAAAATAAATTATTTCAAGTTTCAATGTAAACACTTAACAGATGACTTCTTTGCAGAGGAAATGTTCGTTACCTACTCTCAAACTACTTTTTAACAGATTTTGTATATGCACACACTAAGGTGACAGAGTTCACCTCCCGACTTTCTTACATTTTATGTAATTCTTTTCTCATTGGTGCTTATTCAGGACCGGAAAGCCTTGGGCATCCCAGCTTTCACCTACTCAATGGAGGAGAGGCGATAAGGCACGAAAAGATTGACACCAGGTTTCTCGGACAAATTTAAGTACAAATTTCTCTCTCAAATAGACCACGGTCTCCCTAGAGAGTGTGTTGGTTTGTGTCTGCCAGCACCACAAAGGATGCTCCCAGCCTGACCATGGTACCTTATGGAAGCCACTCACCCATTCTCCGACCTACCCCCAGAGCAGCACCATGACCCAGCCCCACTTGTTTCAGTAATACGATCATATCACTTTCAAAGGGCTCAGCATGAATGTCTCCCTCACCCCACTTATTAACTGGTTTGCTGAACTGAAAGCTTCCCCTCAAGAGCAGCAAGGGGGAAGGGTCCTTTTGAATGCTTCCTTCCAAATGGTAAGCCACTTTGCTCTCAGACAGGACAGGTCCTCCCTGCAGAGAGACACCACTCATCCCCCACCCTACACACTACAGACCAAAATACCCAGGTGTGGCCTAAGGACTACATTAAATGCCTCCTATAGAAATTCAAGGAATGTTAGAACCAGGAAACTAGCTGTTTAGTTCAAGTTTTAAAAAAGTATATAAATATATATATATATATATATATATATATATATATATATATATATATATATATATATATATATAATATATATATATATGAAATCATATCGAGCGTGAGGATGAACAGAGTGCCAAATACCCAGCATCTGTACAAAGTCCCTTCACTGGAATTAAACTATTTTATGTAATTCTCTTTCTCATGCTTTTATGGTTCTTTTGATAAATTCTATTCAGTAGCATGCAGGATACCTGATCTGAACGTGCAACCTGCTAATCATCACCACGATTTCTTACTTCTTAATAACTGATCAGAACGTTGGTCATTCCTTTCAGGCATTTAAGGATTGCTTTCTTTGTGTTCCTTTTTTCCATGACTTTTTTTCACTCTCAGCTGACTGTAAGAAAATGTGCCCGTTTCCTCCTGTGACAATTAATGCTCCATCTGATTTCTGTATCGCGGATGTTCACCCCCTGTAAATAGTTCTGCAATTAAATTTTTTGAGAAAAGTAATGTTTACTTTTTTATTGGAGTGAATTCTCGTGTTATTTTAAACTCAGAAAAATTATATAGACCAAAGAGTTTTATCCGAAAACTAATTACACTCTTCCTCCATTATATATTTCATTGTTGAAATATCCTCAATTTCTCTATATTTTAAGAAGTAATGGACAATTATTAAGGCTACAGATTTAATATGTATGCAAAAATGGTATAGATTAAATGAGTTTTTGATTAATAAATCCTGCAGTATTTAGTTAACGGTTGTTTTACGCTCTTTTGAGTTGCACTGAAAGAGACACACATTAGCTCACTGGGCCACACAGATCCAGGCTCCAGTGAGACAGGGTGGGATGTGGACTTGGCGATGAAACTCCAGGAGGACAAGTGGGTTCCAGTCCCCACTGTGCCTGCAGCTGTCAGGAAGCAGTACGAGCCCATCCCTCCAGGGAGGTGGACAGGTCTGGGGAGGTGACCCGATCTGGGGAGGTTGACCAGCTCAACAGGTGACCAGTCTGGGGAGGTGGACCAGTCCGGGAGGTGGCCAGTCTGGGAGGTAACCAGTCCAGGAGGTGGACCAGTCTGGGAGGTGACTAGTCTGGGAGGTAACCAGTCCGGGAGGTAACTAGTCTGGGAGGTGGACCAGTGGGGACATAGACTGGTCTGGGGAGGTGGACTGGTCTGAGAGGTGACCACCCTGGAGAAGTGATCAGTGAGGGAAGTGGACCAGTCCAGGTAGGGGACCAGTGCAGGGAGATGGACCAGTCCGGGAGGTGACCAGTCTGGGAGGTGACCAGTCCAGGAGGTAACTATTCCGGGGAGGTGACCAGTCCGGGAGGTGGACCAGTCCAGGAGGTGACCTGTCTGGGGAGGTGACCATTCCAGGAAGTGACTAGTCTAGGAGATGGACCAGTCTG